TACACTCAATCCTCAGAAATGGAGTGCTTGATGAGTTCATAAATACGTGTTTCGGAGAAGTTTAGTACAAAAACAGTAATCTTAATGAATATGTCCAAGTAAGTAATTCTAGCTTTTAAGGAACTGGAGGTTCCTTTAAATTGATTATTGTAGGATGAGAAGTGGTAACGTATGAACCACTGTAGCCCATGCATAGTAAAAAATGTTTGAAACGAGCATAACTGTTACCACAATTCCTCACAAAATGGCTGATAAATACCCTCTTATTAAGGAAATACCAGATATGCAAGAACTCGGTTCTTTAAAAGGTAGGCTCTCTTTGAGATGCTGCTTTCAGCCCTTAAGTAGATAGATATGTAAACAAACTGTTTAAAGTAGGAGTAATACTCGAATGATATTTTGATTAATTAGGCTTAAGTCATTGCACACCCCTAGTACCTGGTAATTAAACGAAATAAGGCGACACAATTTGTACACTTTTAGAAAGTTTGAAGTTAGAACTAATTTTTAAAAATAAAATGCATATGATTAAAGCTAAAAATCTGTTTATACTGTTTGAATTAATCGGAACGTGCGTGGGCAGGTCGGTTCCGTCGAGCCTGGCAGTCTTGAGTAGTCTCAGGTGCGTTTTTGAAAAGTTTGAGTTCTACAGCCGTGTAAAGTAACTGACAGTCTTAACCGTCAGTTTGAGCTTTTACCAGTGGGGTCGATAAGGTTAGTCTGAGCTCTCGTTGGTGCGTTCGTCAACAGCAGCTGACATACTAATCTGAATGGAACTAAATAAACTTGGCAATGGATTTACTGCGACGGTATTGGGATCTATGCAGAGCTAATGGCTTTTTTATCCGCAGCTTAATCCAAACACACTTTAGTGCCAATACTTACTGCTGAATTATTAAGGTGCTAGTATTTGATGCCTTATGGATTTATTTGTTTTCTAATTTTAGGTATACCTATTATGGTTGATACTTCAGATACTGATGCAGTGACGTCAGTTAACTTTGTTGGCGCGACTTTTCCTTGCCCATGGAGCGATTTGCCACCTGTTCAACCTAGCTCCTGTGAACTAGAAAATTTTGACGAGGTCTCCCTAATTAAAAAAATTCAGACTGAGTATTGGTGGATTCGAGAAACACATATAAAGACTGGTCCTGATAAGAATAGTAATTTTAAGAACACCTGGCTCTTTTCCTCAGAAAAAGGGCAGAGTGAGTCACGCATCGAACTTTCGGAGTACCAAGTCGTGCGCGAATGCCTTTGGGCACTACTGGGGGCTGGCAAGGGCTTTCTCTTTGCTTATTGCACTGATTGCGAGGTTCTTGTTAGAAACATTTGTTTGTACGCCCGAAAACCCGCCTGTCTCACTCATCTCACTTACGGCGCCCTCGACGCCTTCTGTGTCGAAATTGCCAAGTACTGTACATGTATTCTTCAGATTCGCGCTTTCACCGATTTCGTCCTTCTTGCAGTACCTGGAACCGTGCCACTCCCCTTTATTAGACTGGCAGAATCATGTGCGCGTCTAACGCAAGACACTTATCGGACTATTGCGTCGCTCGAGGAAGACGCAAGGATGCCTGATACACCCCCTTTAACTCTAGTTAGTCTGACTAGTAAACTGCAGTCATGGTTCCGACGTCTTTCTTTCATGGCAGCTCTCATCTTACAAGTTTGCTCCCCCCAATTAACCACCGTTATGTCGGACACGACTTCAATCCTTCTTCTGAATCGTCTTGAGGAGCTTTCTTGCACGCTTTCTCATCACCTCTCCGACCCATATCTTGTTGGCCTTATTAACGATGTCTACATCTCTGCGACTGAGGCATATCTCTCCGACCTACTGAGTAAATCAGGCGGCCGGCTTTTTTCCGCCCCCTTTCTTCGGCGCAATTCCGAATTTTCTCCAACCCATCCTATGTTCTGGGAGTTTGGTATTACACTGCATAAAAATATTGTACCAAGCGTTCTCCTCCCAGTAATAAACGACGTTTTTGTTGGTGTCAAGTCACTGACACTTCTTCAAACCACTGCATCCACTTTTAGAATCCCGAAAATTGCAGAAATTTGCAGACCTCTAACACCCCCGGTTATACATTGTTCCAATGTTGGAGCGGATTCTGTGCTTGAACTCGACCCACTCGATGATCCCGAGCTGCATGAACTGGCTAAGTTGATGCACTCCATTGCGCTGAAGAAGCCGAGTAATACTTTGCTTCTGTCAGCACCAAGAAAGTGGGAAAACTCTCCAAGCCGCACGATACAGCACCTCATGGAGAGTGTGCGGCTGCTATCGAAGCGAATTTCTGCCCAGTTGTACTCCTCTCTCCTACAAGGACCCCTGGTTTTGACGAGTAGATCTAAGGACGATTCAGTGAGCGACAGCTTCCATTTGACTCATGCCTTCACATGTTTGGCTGATGTGGCTTTCTTTCGCGCCGCAGATAGGATGAATATATTCTGTCAGTCACTATTTCTGCTTCGTCCGGGCGAACGAACGGAGGCTGAGGTAAACGGCATGCTAAGGGAGCAACTCACTTTGATTTGCGGTGAAAAATCGTGGATTCACGGACATATTCGCATTGGATTGGATAATCAAGGCAATGTTATGGGGGATGACGTGCAAGCAAGAGCAAATGCATTGAGGCTATGGGTCGATGTCCCTTGGCCGTTGAATATTGTTTTAACAGAGAAGAATCTTGGGGTCTATCAACAGGTCTTCAAGTTTCTTCTTATGGTGAGATAAATCTTTTGTAGATGTGTTATTACTACTATGAATATTTTGATTGAAAAATAGTATCATTTTTACCGGATTGTTTAAGTATTCAATTTCCCTAGGGACTACGTTTATTAGCTATCGTTTACTTTTAAGATATCTTTGATGTTACTTTACTTGTTGCTATGATTTGCAACTTACCATCAAATTGTCATGAATGGGCGAAAGTTGGCTTTTTTTTTCATCACAACCGTTTCAGTGCAAATGGCTGTATAAATTAACGAATTGTGGTGATGATGTAGTTAGTGAGCATGGAGTGCGTTGGTTGATGGTTTGATAAATTTCGCGTTAGATGATGATGTTATTCGTGCGAATGATCCAGTCACTTTGGGGACCCGAGTCAGTGGTTGAGCTGGAGAATGATGAGTTGTGGAGTGATTAGTATCTTACAACATGCGTGAGTTGGCATCGAAAAGTCTTAACATGGATTCTATTTCGTAAATATTCAGTCGTTTGAAATAGTTGGATGGACGAGCTGCAGTAAAGAAATAATCTTGAACCTTGCTATCTATCGTTGGTTCATAATGGAGAATGTGTGATTAATTGCGCTCGACTCTTTGATGATTGCAAGTGTCTGACACAGTAGTCGGCTAATGTTAGAGGTGCTTAGACACAAAAAATGTGCAAAACTTTACCGTCGATTTCTGACTAAATTACAGTTTCTTACTTGAGACAGCCATTAAACAGCTTGTTTCGGAATCAGGAACTTTATGCTTCTTGGTCTAAGAAACTTCCAATACTATAATACCAATAAGAAATCGCCAGAAACGACTTTTATAGCTCAAATTGCCTCTGGTTTACTTGAAAAATCTTAACATACCTCCAGGGAATAGTGTAGATGATAATAATATTTTGGCATTAATAAAAATAACACTTTTACTATTGCAGTTGAAACATGCGAAGTGGGCTTTGGACAGCGCCAGATGGGCCCAAAGTGCAGCGACCCACAAGATGGCCATTTTGCGCTCGCGCTTCCTCTTCGTGATAAACGGCCTCTACGCGTTCATCGTGGACAACATTGAGGCGGCTCACGTGAGGTTCATGCGGGAGGTGACACAGCTCCAGGACGACTGCAGCCTGGACACTCTTATGACCAGCTTCACACACTATCTCACACGAATCGTCCAATTGTGTCTTCTAGAGGATTGCGCATCACAACAGATCCTGAATCAGGCGCTGAGAGGGCTCTTTGAACTGTGTTTGCATTTTCAGTTGCCCGACGTTATTGGAAGTCATCTGGCTAGCGAGTTCTCGACTCGTGTTGCCTTTCTTCGAACAATACTTTCGGAAGCCATGCAGGACAGCGGTCGGAGGGAGAAAGCGACCCCGTTCTTGCATGTTTTAGAGTTGGCGCATCGATTTAACACTGATATGCAAACTCGGCTGCATTTTAACCGGTGAAGAGTGGCCAGTTTGTTGATCTTATTTTCACTGTTATCTTGATATTTTTCTACATGGAATATGTTTTCCTAGTTTTCTCCCGCATTCATTACTTCGAGGATTGCTTGCGTAAAGGAAGTAACTACGTTGATAAGTGGAGGGCGAATGGGGATTGATGGAAGAGTGGTAAGTTCTTTTTTTCATCCGTGGAAGTGATTTTTTGGAGTTAAATATGAATTGGGTGTGTTTATCACAGTACGCACGGTACATTGCGCTGCAGGTGTATGTTTACTCAGTTAAATAGGATGGATGGTGGGGTGAGGACGATTGCGTTCCCCGAGTTTGTGCACTACTTCATTGAGCGGTTTCGCCAGTAAATGGGAATGTGATTAATCAAGTGGTGGCTCTGCTCAAACGGAGGAGGAAGAAGGAAGGAACGGAGTACTCTTGGCGGGAGACGAATGGGAGTCAGAGGGAACATCTTGGCCAAGAGAGAGAATGAAGTCCTCTAGTTGGGATACTCGCGAGGCGGCTTTATCGCGCTCCGCTTTCAACTCTTGGATTTTTGTCTCCTGTGTTGCGGATACAGAGACGAGAATGGCTAAGTGGGGTAGGGGAATGAACGAAGGCAGGTTAGCGACAGTGGGCACAAAATGCCCCTAAAGTAGCGTCGGGTTCGTGAAATAGCCTAAAGCAATGTATTTTATGAAATGCTGGTGCCTTTTCTCTGTGATCGTAAAGGCACGGATCTTTGTGATTGGAGGGGACGCTCACCACTTTTAAAATCATGGCTCATTCAGAAGTTTTTCAGTAGGAGCCTGTCATGGAACGAGAGAGGGTGTGTAAATCACAGTTCGTATCTTTTCTATGGTGGTGCAATCCTACTTTCGTGCGAGTTGTTCATGTCAGTAAGTCCACTTCTGCCATCTTGGAACACACGTAACACTGGAATTCCTGATTTTATTGGAGAACTTTTTGGCTTCGGCACCAGGTAATTGATGGGTACATTCCAATAACGAAGTTTAAAATATTTGGCGAAGTAGGAACACCTATTATTTAACCGGGTGAAAACCACTCATTTGGAGGATAGCTCCAAGAAATAATCCTAAATTCCACAAACTACGATTTGCAATAAATTAAGTGAAAGGAGAGGGCGCTACCACCTCTTTTCAGTATGATATGTGTCGGATTTCTGGTTCAGTAGAGCCCTAAGAACTTCATACCTGCATACATGACTTAAAATAGGCCTAGTCAGACATGCGTGTAGCGCTGATCTCACTGTCTCTTCTGCTGTTTGGACGCATGCAGATGGCACAACACTAACACACATGTCCGATTTAGACGTGTCATCAGTCCTGACAGCCAAGCAAGCCACCGCAGCCTAGACGGTTCGAGCACGGTCATGACCCAGACACTAACGGCCCGCACATTGGTCATCCAGACCTCTGTACCACACACAAGTATCATCATGGTTACGCGACCCCTGAGACGTGCCTGCTCGGGATGGGTCATCTCACTGCAAAGCTTTGTCCTCTGTCTGATCCGGCTGGCACAAATATCACACTTCTCTTTAATCTAGCCAGGAATACATTAGGGCTTTTTAAATTTCAGCAATGCTTTTGCCCTATCATGAAGGTGGGGTTGAGATGGCACCCATCCCGAAGGTAGTGCAAGGATGATGAAATGATGACCTGGTGTATAACGGGCAAGTTGTTTGCGTTGCTCTTTTGTTTTGTGTGCGAAGTCGATAGGTGACTTGCGTTAGCTAAGAGCTATTCGTTCTGTAAAAAACCATAAAATGGTAAAAACCCCGGTTAGTGAGTATCAAGTTGTGTTTTATGAGTACTAATTTACCATTAGCGATACGAACAACGCGCCAGAGTCGAAAAAGCACGAGGAAGCCAGCAGCTTCGGGGAGAGACTTGATGCCACTCCTCAAGGTTGATTCGGGTGCAGGAGTTGTCGCCATCATGAGCCCATGCGCAGTTGAGGAGCTTGATGTGTGGTGACAGTGGGTCTCTGTCACCATTAGGTAGATATCGATGGCAAAACTGACGCATATGACAACTGCATCAATGCTCTCAATCAGGCTGTGCAGGTACAGTCCTATGCCAAATATCCAGAGTTTAAGGATAATTTCCACCAGAAAGAGGGAGATTATGCTCAAGCTGATACACTCAATACCAAATTTAGCTAATTCCAAATTTTTAGCTCGAATTGGATCCTAAAAGGGAAAGAAAATACTCAGGTGAAGTCTGCTGCTATGGAAGGGCAATTATACCTATCAGCGTCACTTCCTGCATCACTGTCGGACAAAGTACATAAAATTTTACAGCCTTAGAGTTTGACCTTTGCACGACACCCTCCCCCGCACATAAGTGTCACTGATAATTAAAGGTCTAAGTAGCATGTCAACGGCATCTAAAGCTATTTGAAGCTGGGTAAATGCAGCATGGAATTGGGGAATTGCCGCTCGGTGTTAATGAACGCGGAGGGAACACATCTGCAGGGTAGGTGTTCGCTGTACTTTTAGTGCTTCATTCATTAATTCCCACTATCAGTCGGATTCCGACGAATCGCCTCATTCTCGCGTTTGCAGCTAGAAAATGCGATACAGCATCCAGCTTAGTGTAGAAAATCACTTAAGTAAGAGTTCTGAAGGGAAATCAGTATGTTGATATCGTCAGGTTACCACGGAAAACCCCTTAGTAAGTAGTCTATATTTACAGAAAACAAAGTGAGCCCACAACGACCTTTTCAAACGTGGCATCAACGAAAGTCTAGAGGGTTTACAATAGCGTCTCCAAGCTTTGCAGGAATACCGGGATATTCAGTCTCATATTCAATCGTCTCTTCATAAGCTAGACGATCCAGCATAGAAGGGAGCGTGACCATAATGAAGAGCAGCCATTTCATTGTTTGCAAATTTTTGGGAGCACTTTAAATGACTGGAGCTTCAACTTCGCCGGCAGCAATCTTCCTCAGGTATTGGGGAGAAAGGGAAAAAAAGGGAAAGACATAACTTTTCGGCGCTCAACTCTTCCAGAATTCTTTAAACACCTCTACAAGAAGGAGGATAGAATTACCAACGGAATGGACTCAGAGGTTACAATCAAAGGACGGGTTTGAATTACGACATTACTAACACTTTAGTTGGGGGAATTGACGGCGACGCCGACGAAGGACGTTGAACAACCCTCTGTCGCAAAACAAAAGACGTCTTCGAAATCCCACTGGGATTGAGTTCACGGTTGCGTGCTCCTGAGTTAGGTGGCTAGTTTGGATTTAATTTTCTGCAGTGCAATGAACCGAATGGTGGAAAGAATCTGAATACAGCCCCATCCATGACTAAAAAGGGGGTGAATTGAAGAAAAGCGCAAGGTGACCACCAGCAGAATGGTTGTCTTGTGCAAGATTGTGGGCTAAAAGTAAAGTACGTATGCCTTTCTCAAAAAATGGGTCTTTGTTTCAAATAAATGGAGTGACTTGGCAGCTGAGTGCCTTGGTCGTAAAATTGTCTGGTCGGTAATTAATGGTGGGGGAAGGCATGAAGCGAGCGGAGCCAGCGTCCACTAACCGCTTGAGAGCAGCATCTATGTCCCGATAATGGTTAAATTGAAATCCTCTTCCAACACACAAACAGGAGTTGTCAATTGCTACTTCAACTAATCGCATCATTCACAGGACCATTTGCATGTAAAAATGGGCAGTCATCGTAACAGTGGGCGTTAACAACGCGACCACGGTAGTTGGGCGCAGTTCTCGCTATTCCATTAACACTACAATTGCAGGAGCTCAGTGGCCACGCATGCGATGCGTTAGGCAGTCAAAGGCGGGAAAGAATAAGTTGCGAAAAGTTCAACTTCATCACTGTTGGGAACTAGCTGCAGCTGTCCTGCAAAGGAGAACAAATCCGCCATGAAAAGTGTATAATCTCAACTGCTGGTTTTCCGTGCATGGAGGAAAACTGGTTGAATATCAGACCCACTAGATAGTGTAGAAATCACGCACCAAGTATGGTAGTAATCAATGCAGGTGACAATCCAATACCAGTCATATTGAGAAGCTGGTATTTTTGACAAGATTCGGGTGAGTTTTTGTTTCTGTTAAACAGATACATCACTTTCCCTGTTATGACACAAACTATCATCCATCGGAGAGTAGATGGGGAGGAGAGAAAAAGTGGTTGGCAATTCCCAGCCCTCAGTAAAGTGGATGGTACCCAAGGGAGCACTTGAAGATTTTTCCATGCCGAATAAAAATTTCCCGATTCTAAATATAACTAATCTTCCAATCTGTGACTGCACTTGCGGTAGGCAATAATTTTAAAAGATATCAAGCTTAATCGCAAAGGAGTGTTTATAACACCGGATTGAGCGCATTGCCTCAGTGAAAAAAGATTAACGCTACGTTACAAATCCAACAACAAGTAGCTGCAATTAGTTTGGTCAAAGTGCTCCTTGCGATTGCACTCAAATGCAAGGTTATGGTTGAGAATATAATGAAAGAAGGTCTGAAGGTGATCCGAAGATTACCAATAAGACAGGTCTTAGGGAGAAAAAAGGAAGAATATGATGAGGTGCTTATTTCTAAAACCTCGCCATGACGATCAAATCGCTTACGAGATTTGATGAACTCCAAGTATAGCTACAACAATTCCCTACTTACACTTCCTTCTGTTAAGACGAGACCTGCTCGAAGGGATTGGGTTCAGGCACGTAGTTTTAGTTATTTTAACAAAAAAGTCCGCCAAGGTTCCCAAATTGTTTGACTACTCATTAACACATTGGACACACGCGAATTAATTCAAAAAGTAGCAAAAGGAAATAAAAGCCTTCTCATACTAAGTAGTGTACTTGGACTGACATAAATAAGGCATTAGCGGCAAAGAATGGAAATACACTGGATAGGAAAGTTGAAGGTAACCACAGCGATGTAACCCGAGAACATTATCAAACAATACGAGGGGATGGAATTATTATCTCAGTTTTTAGGGTAATGAAAACCTAGCATGCGTCAAATGCTTACCGAAAAGGTCTAAACATAGGCACAGGTGAAGCGGATGGCTAGGTTGGACTTGACTAGGCCCCGGTTTGGTATCCAAAATAGGGGAACCTCTGAAGTAGATGGTCTAGGAAACATGACCATGAATTCTAGCTTAGGACTTAATTATTTTCTCTCAATATTTTACTTTGCTCTCCCCTTAATGACATATTTTTACTTAAGGTGGAGATTTTTACTAAACTGTCACTTGTTCTACTCCAAATTTTTCAAGACACAATTTTAAATTACAGATTCTACTTTGAAAAATGGCTAACACGACTCCCTCAGAGAGGCAAGAGAATAAATTTTTTTTCCTTCAGAAGTTATCATGCCGCAGAATCCTCCCACTACTGCGATTAGAAATGAATTAGTAAATTGTAGCGCAGAGTATGACAATTCCTGTTTCCTTTCCACAAGTCTGCACACCATTCATCGGCTTCGGGCAGTAAACTGCATAATGTACCTGTTTAGCGCATCCATGTGTGATGTTTACTGGTGTCATGTACCGCAAAGTTATTTCAAATTTCAAACAGTAGAGGAAATACTGCTTAGTGTGAATGATTAAAATTAAAATTGCTCAGCCGGTCACACATGCAGACTAAAAGTGCCCGCTACTCTCTCCATCGAGGCCGCATCGCTGCGAGGCTATGAAATGCCCCTAGCAGACAATGCAAGCTTTTTATACAGTAGCCTGCAGACTTGTTGAAGCCAATTTGGATTTGGTAGCTGCTGTTATAAGCCCAATCAAATTCCAAGCCCCTTTTATAACACATTAAATACTTTTGTCTAGTCACCAGACCATAGATCCAAATCACACTGAAGTAGGGATAAGAGAGATCGAAATTGCGAATGTTTACTTTGACAACACTTTTACCATAGCACAACACTGTGAGGATCCTATATGTTAACATCGCTTGATTTTCCTTTCTCTGAATCAACAATTTTTCAAAGAAGGGATCCTTCAATGAATGGTGGATTAGAATGAACAACATCGGCCGTTGAGATCCTCGAAGACAAAATGGCAGAGCCACAGTGATCAAACACCATCTGCTGCGATGGCTTATTAGCTAAACAATGTCTACCTTACCCAAACATGTGAGATTAAGAAAAATAATTAATAAAAGGACGAGAGCGAAGTTGTCATTCGCTAGGTCCGCAATTCAGAGGTCATAATGCACGATCAGTAAATGGACTACGTCAGGCCATATCCATTCACCTGATATTTTACACTCACTTGCATTAAATATTCAACTCTATGTTTGTGGAATGCATGGAATCAAAAATTTGCCGCTATACACTGATGCATAATGTATAATGTCAAAAATACAGCCCATTTTTAGGTGTGGCTGGGTTTTGGGAGTTTGACAAGAAGAGAAGCTGTGTGAGATGCAGAAAGTGAACATTCAGTTTAAAACCAACATCCGACAAGAATAAGCGTGGGGCCAAAATGTGCCCTTTGATCGAATATGTTAACATAAAGCTAAAAATAAAAACACATAAGGAGCTATATGGTAAAGGACTAACAGCGGCAACCAAACACTAAACCAGTGAGATATATAGCTGAGTAAAACACACATAAATTTTGCTGCTTGAAAACTAGAAATCATCTCAAAATTAAAATAAAAACTGTCAAGTTTGTAAGAAACTGTGATTTAGCAATGCTTGTTACTACCGCAAAATGATACTCGATTATTGTGAATACGATAAAGTGGTAGCGTTATTAAAATGAAAAAGTATGCTCGCTAATATTATAGAGTGCAGATTACATTAGAATTCTTTACTTGAAGTAGAGGCTCGAATAAGCAAGGATAAATAATGTGATTTTTCAAAGAAAGTTGTTTTTTGGCGGAATAGAAATGTAGAAATCTATAAGTCCGAAACTAGAGCAGCATAAAGTTGATGAAATACACTAAAGCTGAAGTAGATGGTGTTTATAAAGCAAAAAAACCACACTCCCAGGCTTAGGATTATAGAAATTGCGGGTTGGTACAAAATTTTTACCAAGAACAAGGATTTTTGTCACATTCAACAGAAACTAACCTTACTCTGAAGTCTTTCGATTTCAAGCATTAGCATTGAGACAACCAGCAGACCCTCTAAGCCAGCCAACGTGATGATTCCAAACTGGAACGCCTTTCCATGAAGAGACGTTCGAAATTTTGACTTTAATCGCAGATACTGGTTGCGAGTACACATAATGGTTTAAGCCTTTTCCAGCTTTGAAGATCTGATGATAAGGAGAGATGTCATTCCATGTCTACTTTCAGAGGAACTAACGGCAATAAAAATTGATATTGCCGCTATTATTATGTTACAAGTCCTTCGAGCACTAGCTAAGTATTGACACAATGCAATCTAAGACGAAATTTTTTGCAAATTAGTTGAATGCTAATAAACTAAAGAAGTAAATGGATGTGCATTACCACACTTATTCAAAAGAAGATGAGCATCACAGAATTCACTTTCTAAAGTAAGTTTAAATCAACATCACAGCTAATTATCTACCTACTCAAAACTTCGTTAAAACATCTGATAAGTCGAGAAATCTGTTAAGCACAACAACAGCAGAGAAGTAATTTCCATACGCTATACTAATTTCATTAAAAACTCAAAAAACTAATGCGCTTTGTTTTGTAACAACCCAAAAGCATGAAAAACATACGAGCTGTAAAAAATCGGAAAAGTCGTAGCACACGATCATAAAAAGAAAAACATGAAATCAAAAAAAAAATAAAGTGAAAACAAAAATTGCAAAACAAGGCAAAAGAATGTGTGATTCACGCAAATAATAAGTACACTTGCATGATCGGACAAAAAATTCAAGAATTTCGCTAAATCTCTATACCCGAAATCCAAAGGCCTAAAGGGATAAGAAGCGAAACAATGCAAATAAACATTGCTAAAGAGGAAATCTAAAACAATTAAAAATGCATGTAGCAACTAAAATAAATCAACAAGTTGAAATGAAACCACAAATTGCCGCCTAGTTCGTCAAAAAATAATACAAGAATCGCAGGCAGAGTACCAGAATGCCATTCAAATCCACTGACGTTGCAAATGTTTAAATAAAAGACTTAGAAACAGAAGCAACTAAAGTCTCCAAAATAACAGAAATGGCAATTGACTAACAATGTAGTACAAATAAAACTAAGCGTGTGACACCTAGAATAACTCAGCTTATTATGCACAGAATATGTAGGGAGCATTTTAACAATATGTGAATACTTAACAGCTTGGGAATATATTTATACAATTGGTTAATTACACGAAAACTTCTTAGAGGTCATTAAGAAAAAATTAGTCAGCTCAAACAAACTCCAATTCTTTAAAAATAAAAATTTGTTAAGATAAAGTATAAATTCTATGCAAACATGTTTTTTTGCTTCTATGTAAAAGTAATATTAAAATTCGTTTATAGGCCTTGCTAAATAAATGGAAAGATTTTCCTAAAATAAAAAATAAAGGCTTTTGTTTAATATTTTTATTTTTTCGCAACGTTTATTTTTTGTTTTGTTACCCGTTTTTAGTTGCTTTAAGGCCACATTCTTAATCTTTTCATAAACGTTGCTTTTATGCAACTCAATCGCTTTTGTTTTAATTGTTAGAATCGTGCCCATAATTCGAAATTTGGTGGTTTGTCCCGCATTGGATATTACACACGCTGTAATCTTGGTGCTAATGTGTTACTAGGTTTAGTATTTGTAAATGTGATGTATCTTATGCCTTAAGCTACTTCCAACTATGCAACATCGTGCATTTTTTTGGCTTTTTTCTAATATTTGGCTGTACGCATTTATTTGGGCATTTCGGTATTCAACTATGTCTTTCGAGCAGTCTTAACCCGTTGTTAAGACGTGTGCTTATTGTGCACCATCAGCTGACTGATTGTCCTTCGCTGATTTGTTTTTCATGCTGCTTAAAATGCTGTAAATGTTGGGAATTCTGCTTTATTTGTTATGGATATCTACCCTCGGAATCTTTTTTGCCCATACAGTGGTGTTCATTATTATATATCGTTATTTACTGCTCTAGAAACTTGTTCCGACTTTTGAATGAAGACACGTCGTACCTCTGCAGAACCACTCAAGATCGTTGCCGGAGTGAGAACGCGAAGAACAGCTCGTATCGGTTCTCCGTCATCTCGTACGCAAAATGATGCTCAACCTGATGAGGGTGGTAGTGTTCAACCGGTTATTTCGACTACCGAAAAAGTAGATGAACCTCCATTGAAGTCTAGACAGGGTATTTTTTATTTCATCTCTTAATATCATATCTTAGCTGGCCAAAAAGTTTCCCTAAAGGATGTATGGACGGCAGATGACCGAAGGCTATTCTTCCTAGGCGTTCGTTTGGTATGAGGTCCAGCAATTACGTAACAATACTTCTTTTAGTATGGGCGAAACTTTAACGAACTGGCACGTTTCGTAAGGTCTCGAGGCCACCGCAATGACACCTATTCCACCAGCGCCACTGCTAACCAACCTTCCACCTGTGCTGAAGCTCCTGGGACCGGTTCTCAGCCGATTGGATCCTCAGTCGTGGCACCAGTTGCTGTAGCTGCTGGACTTTTGCCTGGCAACCCTCCAAACCAATCTGGAGTTCAATTGGCAGCGATGGACGGACGGACCAAGGAGCAGGTGCGACTCCTCTACCAACAGACTTGGCATAAACTCCGGCGCTACATAAAGTATCCGGACGATGTCCCTCAGCACGTTCGCGAGGTCTATGCTATCATTAATTGGTCGGTGATGCGATTTCGTATCAAAAAAAGTAGGCATTTGCTTCGAATTTTTTAGATGAAGGGATTAGTTGATGATGTTTGTTCGCGATTCTGACAGATGTTAGGTGTCTGAACAATTATGAGTTTTCTGTGTTTACTTATTAATGCATGGAACTAAGTACTTGTTTAATTTTTGCATGATTTATTCCGTCTTTGAAATACTGTTCGTTGGTATTTTCTTAGCAATGGCATTTTCATGTCCTTCAGGTGACCTTTCTTTCAATTGTCTTTGGTAGTACTTAGCACACCCGTTACCGGGTATCATTGTGCCGCCCCGATTTTCTCATCTTAGCCCAAGCGTTGCGTATGTGACAATTAATTGGAAGGAAATGAATTAAATTAGAAAAGAAACAAGGTATGCAGAACCGACGCTACATTCCAAACACAAGAACCTGGGCTGTGGGGGTTGGTTTTCTATAAGATCCAGGCAGCGGGCGTGCTAATCTATGTAACATTAAAAGTTTTTAATCCCCAAAACCCTACGCACGGTTAAATATGGGGTTGTTTAAATATAATCTTATTCCTAATAATTCCATTTCGTTTTAGCTCTCGACAATCGGCTGGGGGAAAAATTAAATGAACTCGTTCACTATGGGTGGGTGTCAAATTCGTAAATTGGAATGCTTACTGACTCTGTAACATTTGTTCCCAAAACTGAATAGGTCAACTTGCGTTAAACACAAGGGCCGTCGCTTCCTGTTGCGCACTCCCGTGTGTCCCATCCTGAAACAGCTTAATCACATTTCCGGCAAGTGCACCTTTACTAATATATTAATAAGTAGAAATTTGTCAGCTGGAAGTTTGTTGCACTTGTTTAGACTGAGGCACCACTGGGCACCCTAAATAGAATTGATTCGCCTGCAGTATGCTCCCATCAAAAAGCACCATCATTTCCCATCACTTTTTTGTCCAGCACCGACCCAGGAGTTTACATTGCCTGAGGATGTGTGGGTGGAGCTGGTTCCAGCTACTCAGATGGTCGCCTGGAGAGTACTGCAAGCCGAACAAAATCCTCGTTTGAGACTCAAAACAGACATCAATCGGCAACTTTCGGACGTTATCAGTCTTGCCGAGGCAAAGTGGATCCTTCCCACCGACTTGATTGTATGTCTCCATCGAGTTATTGAGCACCGTGTCTCATTTGCGTTTAATGAAATCTACACATGAATTCCTTATCTTGAATGCTTAATCTGTCACGATTCATTAAGGAAGAAAATGGTATTTTGAGGCAAATGCACTGTAGCTTAACTTTAATTCAATCGAATAAGACGTCTTGATCACTTGATTTCCCGTTTTGTTGTTCCGAACCAGAATGGATTATCCTTTACTTTCTTTTTAGTCGAAGGAAAATTCATCGAGCAATTTGTTTTCGCAATACTGCCTTAAAATCTGGAGGTTACGATTTTATTCTACAGGCTTACCAATACGAAAAAGTCAAATTCATATTTTCAATATTTTCATTGTTTTGAACCGACTATGTTTCCGTGAAAAATCATACTCGCTGTTTTCTTGACTCATTGACTGGTGGGAAGTCTTTTTATGCTACAGTCACTAATTACATATATATTTAAACAAGGCAGGTTTTCGTTATTGTATCTCACAGACAATTCTGAAATCCCCAAAAAAAAACACCGAGTTGTTTTTTGGGATCCGCACAGTTACATGTGCTCTTCTCTTTTTTTTGCAAAATTACCGGTGGAAGTTTATTTGAGTGAGGAAAATTTTTGCCGTATCCTTACAGATGCTGCTATTAAGAGGCGCAGTAAAAGGGTGTCAAGTTTTCCCGTTTTAGGAGAGTGCGTTTTCCCTTTTTTAGCAGTGGTACTACAGTGTATTGGTAAAATTAAATTTCGGGGCAAAAAATTTCACTCATATCCCGACCTTTTACAGTTTTTTGGTGTTTTCTGCGTAACAATCCATCAAATTTCAGAGAATTTGGGGGTTGTGGTTATTTTCTGTTGTGAATTTCCCTTATCACTTAACTTTATAATTTAACAGAGGAAATTTTCAAATTCCTAGATCTGTATCAAGTATTTTAGTGACGAATTTGACCTTAATATTTGTAAAGCAATTCAAAAGCGATTATGATGTTGTGCCTTCCAGAAACCTACTATTACAAGTCGGAATTCTGCTGAGGGTAAACGATCGTGCTATGATTTGCTTTAGTTGCAAATTCCACTTAAAAGGTACCCCTCGATGAGAATGCTTAGATGATTTCCGGGTTCGTTGTGATACGAGCTCCCGAATTTGAGGTTTTTACATCAGGAAATAGGAAGACGTTTTTCACCGAAACTGAGCACAGACTAAGAAATTGGAAAGACTACAAAAACAACACCAGCGTTTACTTTCGTGTGAAGGTACGCCAGCGATGACTGGCGCTGAAATATCGTGCACAAGATCACGAGACATGATAAGCGTACTGAAGGACTTGAAGACTCATGTTATGACCGACACGGTGATAGATCTGTGAGAATCTGGAAAGGCTCGCATACTCAAATACAGTTAAACTACCGTTCTATTACATAGTCTCTGTCTTGTTTTGAGTATCTTAGCGTCCTTTGCGTTTTTTCCCCATCTTGTCGGCCATTAATGTCAGTATTGAGTGTGAGAACCATCCACTAGATATATGGACGAGAATGGCTATCCCTTACCCTGAGATTCCCGAATTTAGCTGTAGTTTTTCGTTATGTATATTTGAATGAGTCCATCCGTCTTCTCTATCAGAACTATATCGATGGTTATTTACGCACTATTGCCGAGAGTACATTTTCTACTTTAACCAATTTTTGAGTAAACAATCATCCAATGGTAAAAACAACCTGCGCCCAGTTTTTGTTTTTCCTTCCCCCTCTTCTTTCTTTCATCGCCACTTATTGGCCTCGTAGTTACTCTCGGCTTGTAATCTGCCGGAGTACCAGGTTTGTAATTTACTTTTTCCGCATTATTAGTGTAAGAAGTTGTTTTATGAGAGATTTCAGCTCGTTCCATTACTGATTATTCTGCAAAACTTGGGTTCGGAGTAGTTGTCAAAAGTCGACTCGATCTCAATAGCCCTTCTGTTGTGTCTTTGAACATTAAACCATCCAATAAGTAAAGCACGTTGTTAAAACATTAAAGTGCTCTCACTTTTTCCTCTAACCTCCTTCTATTGTTCTCAGCGATTCCTTCTGTGTCCCTCCGCGGAAACAAAGCCAGAAGAGAAAGGGGGCGTCTCGGAGAAGCTCCTGCTGCGTCTCCAGAGGGAACATCGACTCGATGGAGCCATTAGTCTGCAGGAGGTCTCTCGTACCCGCTCGACCGACATCGCGCTCAACGCCTACCTCGCACGACGCCAAGCCAGCCAGGACGTTCCCAAGCCCACAGCCGCTGGTGAAGCCGCTGGCGAGGGTGAGCTAAGCTAGAGTTGGTTATGTAGCGTCCATATTATCTCTGAAGGTTTTTTGAAGTGTACTAGTCTAGAGTTGGCTTCAATACCACTTTACGAAATGGTTGGGCCACCAATGCAATGATTTTCATTATATTTTCTAATGGAATCGGCCCATAGGGTCATTTAACATGTAAGGTAATTTGAGGAAAAAATATAATGCATAGTTTTAAATTCATCGGGACTGAAAACTAACCTATTTCCGACAAATGTCTGGTTCCCAGTATGGTGCTCGTTCTAAAGTGTAGAATTTCTTGCCGTTGAAAATGGTGCTACTTTTAAGGAACATCGGACCTTCTATGCTTCATTCTCCACTAGTCCCTGTAGTACTCTTCTAATAACTGCGGGCAGTGTTGAGTAAGAGTTTTGGCCATTTACTGGTTATTCCGAAGCAGGGACGTGCTTATCCTCAGATATCCACTGGTGATGCGACAAAGTTTTTTGGATGTAAGAAATTTGGTTTCCGAGTTTGTTATATGCTTAGCTATTTGGCGGATTTACTTGTACCGCCTGACAGCAGCAGTATCGGCAGTGACCATCACAGGCATAAATAACGATTGCGTGATGAAGATTGGATAGATGAAAAATGTACGGTAGAGCGAATCCCTCCATTTCTGACGTGCTGCCACTCATGAATATAGTTTTTCTCGTTAAAAATCGCGCTTATGAGTGTGCAAGGTGAGCGCTGATGGTAGCAGTGGTTGTTGCCGTTGTTGCAACTCCTAACAGCTTGCATAGCTATAATTTTAGGTCAAAGTAAAAAAGCGAGACTTCGCCCCCCTCCCCTCCTCATTTCCCTCTCCTCCTCTTTTCATTACTACTTTTGACTTCCCATTTGTTCACGCTCAGCTTAATGGCACCATTGATGAGGTGAAGTGCATGTTAGCGATCGGGAGTGGTGCCAGAAAGTACGTGCCCCTTTAAACCGAAGGGTCATGCTGCTTGAAATTTACTTAGATTGCATAAACTTTAAAACACTTGGCTGGTGTCACCTTCCATTTTATATCTCTTGAAAATTTAGCCAATGATCTCTAAAGTCGTTACTAGTAGATACTTTTTTGATAGCCTGTTTTAAATAAATTAATCTCTATTAATATATCCAAATTGAGAAATGCTCATGAGTAGGGAGGTGAAACAGTGGTGAGGTCGGAAATCTTTTTTTTTCATTTGCAAGGCTCAGGCAAGTAGGTGCTTTCGTTTGAGAGCCTAATTGCGATAGGTCAGTCCGTATTTATAAGCTCAAATTGCATTGAACAGTTGGAGGCTATTAAAATGTTTGTACAATGTAAACAAACCAGAAGTTGAGTTTAAAAGCTTGCATCGACACTTGCTAGGAGCCAGCGGTTAGGTTCGATTGTTGCGAAAGCTGATGGGTTTACGAACTAACTGACGCTTTTACAGATTTATCAGCCTACAGGGAAACAATAAAGTGCTTTTTGAAAATGTTATCTTAATCTTCCATTTTTTCCCTCCTAATACCAACAGATGCGCCGGGTGCCAGCGGTACTACAAGCACCTCCACTGCCGCCACCGGTACCTCAAAAGCCTCGGCACAGGAAGGGCAACGTCACCTAGTACCTTCTAGGACAGGCGGTTCTGGTGCCTCGCCCAACTCCACTGCTGTTCGTCTTGATCTCCGTGGGGTTGGAAAACAGTTAGCCAACGGTGTCACCTTTGAGGTAGGTTGTTTGCTTTGTCATTGGCGGTTGTTCAATATTCACCATTCTCTCCACGTTTCTACTTTGAGAGCATAGATCGTACTATCTAGTGTTTGTTTGAGGGAGGAGGTTGGGGAGGGAGGGAAAGGGGAAATAAAATCAGCACACCAGGAGAAGTCGAGCACTGCGTTGATTTTAGCATGTAAGCAAGGGCCCTTTTCAATGCCAATTTACTTATTTGATTATTGCGACACTTAAATCCCAAATACGTTTATATTTCATGAAAAACATATGACGCGATGGCACTACCATTTAATGGTGACGTAATTCTGGGACTTCGTGCCATATACCTAAGCGCCCGGCTTGCTTTGATTTATGAGAGGTATTTATGTCAAATATTGCTTAGCTAATACCTTGACAATACAGCTAAAGCACCCTAGGAAAGTCAGTTTCACTTCATATTCAGTGATGGATTGCTGATTTTCGATGATCCAAACAGGTGAAAATAACTAGAAGAAAAGTGTGGCAATGAGTTGCTACAATGTACAAGTAGTTTGAGTCACCATTATGGGCTTCTGTGGAATGCTGTCTTTGTACTTAGCATGAACCGACTTTCTGAAATTTCAAATGTTCTTGAGTTGTTGTGCTTACTGTCGCCACGGAAGCATTGATCTCCTGTGCTGTTTCAAGTCAAACCAGGCGTGGCTGCTTGGAATCAGGCAGGCGTTCTCCATGCCAAATGTTCAGTGCAAGAACTACTGAGGTCGTGAGCTGGGGACGGGATCACCGCAATCAGGACCATCGCTGATGTAGAAATATATGATCGTTTTCGAAACGTTTACTGCTACTGAGTGTCCTATCGTCATGCTGTGCTTGAAGTTCCCTAGGGATCTCAGCAGTTTTACGTCTTTGTTGGCAAGTGACTTAATCACCATATGGTACTGCATGGGCGCCTTACCAGTGGACCGGGCAACGACAACGTGTGCACCGGTTGTTTATGTAATATAGCGCACTTGTCACATTACTGTTTGCACTGCCGCCATGGTGTTACTCATTTTTATACTAAACCGGTAAAATTAAAAGCCTCAGTTTTATTTTAAGTGGCTTCATATCTCACGGACCAGTTCACTTCTGATCTTCAACAGAAAAAAAAACTCACGACTTCGCGAGAAATGAATGCTATGGTGGACTAAAAAGGATGACTTCCTTCGATGTGATCGCTTTATATTTGCTTTTTGAATGATACTAGAAAGCTGTGCTCTCGCTTGATCCCTTCTGATCGGCCAATATAACGTGCATACGTGCTTTAAATGGACTAGTAATCACTGAGGGCAAAGGACAATTAAACACTATAAGTGTGCGAGGCTGAAATTACTCTGGTCTCCGGTATACCCCATGAGTCAGTCGGATACCACATATGCCAACCCCGTAATTCCCTCTGCTCGCACACACACACGCGTCGGCAAATAGAGAGGTCTGTATTGAAGACTTTGTCTCCTGATTGCCGCGACTTGGGAACTAGACAGGATACGAACTCACGCCTATAAACAGCAGTTTTCACTAGATATCCATCTTTAGCGTTTCCCGTTTAAGCCGCCGTCTGTATACTTTTTAATGCTAACTATTCCTCGGTTTAAAATCTGAAATGCAAATGATTAGCAGGAGACAGCATTGTCTGCATTTTAGTCTCAGTATTTTGGTTTTAGGAGAGCCCTTTATCATCCGAGCAGAAGTTTGCTTTTCATCAGATGGACTTTCAATAGCGCCTAAATTTTTCGCTTAGTATTTCATCATTTACCCACTGGAAAAGGCATTCGGCTCTTTCAGCGGACTAAGCTAATTGCTTTATTACACTGCCAAGTGAATACGCAATTCTGTACTCCTTGGGAGACGCCTTTAATACATAAGAGCTGTCTTTTTTGCAATTTGGCGAAAGCAAATTGCAATCTGGCATAATTAGCACTAGTGATGTATTCTTAAAGATCACCCGAATTTGGGATTAAAAAGAGTAAATATAAGTGTTTCAGGAGTTATTTCTACCGATTACCTATTTTGTCATTTTTGATAGCCATACTGGAGTCGAAACAGTGTTGCCCCATACTAGACGGATAAGGTCAAGGAGGCCTAAAGCGGTTTCCTTCCTCGTCTACTTTTACCAGATTTATTCGCCCTTAAAAATTTTTGCCTGACCGTAAGGCTTTGGCCATAATTAATGCGTGCAAAATGCAACTTTTGGGTGACTTAGGCGAAGGTGATGTTGGTTTGACTTTGCTCTAGGACAGGCTATAGCTCTCAACTCATTGAATTAGAGTAGATAATTGTTCATATTTTTTGCTTGCATCTGTGGCCTTTTTGGTCAGAAAAAAGTTTGTCATTCATGCGTACGGAGCAGGAAAATTGGAGGTGCTCTTTTTGGGACTATATGATGTAATTTTAGCTACATTTGGACAGTTGTCTTCTCAGTTTTAGTAAAACAAACTTATTCAAACACGGAAGTACATTTAGGTATCCGGGATGTTTCAATAGCCGCGAAACCAAAATGCATTGGAACTGAAGTTTCCCCATTTTCTTGAATCATGGCAGGCGACTTATGAAGGTTCCCGTCAGTGAAATTAGAGGTAGCGATTCGCTTGCTGCTAACCTAAAATCATAAAACATACGGCTATTTTTTAACTGGTAGAAAAAATACAAACTCGGTATGAAATGGCCGCGAATTCTCAATATTGCTACTGTGAGCCTGTGGATGTCGTATAAAGTGACTTATTTACTTCTGCTGGGAAGTTGCTGTGGAAATTTTCAAGAAAGATGTTCAACATATGTTAACTACAGTCATATTTTTGGTCGTTTTTGCACTCAGAAGTAACACACTCATAAGCTATTCTACCCGGAATGATTCACTTTCTTCTGTTTACCGTCACTGACCGTGGTGAAATCCATCCACTTGTACACGAATGTTGCCAGTTAACCGTTCAAAAAACCACCAAAAGTACATGCAGTCATGGTAATGTAAGTAATAGCTAGTGCTTTCTGACTGCATTATCGTGGAATCGTCTTTGAAAACATGCTCATTTGGAACCGGAATTTCGTCATCCTCGATTATGCAATCCTTATGTGATGCAACATCACGCAGGCACTTCCAGACGAGGAGGTTTCTAGCGGTTAGTGTTTCAGAAGTTCATTTAAGCAGTTAACCCCGGCAGCGCTTTTTAACCAAGATATCACCCATCGGTGACACTGGTAGTCGCTGTAAGCATTCGAAAACAAGCTGGTTTGACCTTGACGCCACTACAACGGAACGTTTTTTGGAAACATCGTGGTTTCAAATCGTACTGCGCTCAAAATACTCTCGTCAGTTCCTGCAGATGGTTGTGGCATGCTGTAATTCGTTTCAAGTTGCGACTACTTGCCAAACTGGGGAATCACCGATATAATTATGACATCTTTTTCCCCTTACTCATCACTGGTTTCGACTTGCATAAAGTCCAACTTTTTTGGGTGGGAAGTTTATGTGTATTTAGTTTTGGATTGAACTTTTCCCGTGCTTAGAGCTACGAGACTGTTGGACTGTGCTTTCCGGTCTTTCATCACTGAGGTTACCATTTTACTGAGCGAATTTGATTTTTCTCTCTTCCTCAATAACCTTTTTGCTTTGGGATGCATCAAGCCAAAGCTATCATAGTTTGATTTGAATAATTTACACCGCTTTCTCACCCATGGGATTCCGACTACTGCGCTAGTGTTGTTGCTTTCGTCGTAGGAGGCACGGGGTATCAAGTTGGTGGTCATCTACCTCGCCCTCGGCTGCCCTGCGCGCATTCGTTTCGAGTACGACTTTTTACAGTCGAGCTCGACAAGAGCCTCCGCGTCCTCCTCTTACCCGACATCCTTGCCCAAGGAGGCCATCGCAAATGGCGAGGGCATCACTAACGGCCTTCGTCGCCTCCTTCACCTCAGTGCCAGCGAATACCTCAACCTCAAAAGCTGGAATGTGGGTATTCTCCCCAGTTTTTACTTTAATGGCATTCTGCTTTGTGTTTCGATTTAAACCGCGACACTGGATATGCTTACCTGGGATGATTCGTTGGTACACTGTTCCCTAGGCACCGTTTTTTTCCTCCTATTAAAGGTTGTTGCATTTTTTTTATGGACACAAATCAGCCAAATCCTGTGTGACGTGTATGTGCGCATGCTATTTTGTTACTGAAGTGCGCATTTAATTCCCAATCCGCTTCCTTCTTTTGTACTCATTTCATGTTTCATTGCCAATGGGATATGCGCGATTGGCATGGATCAACGCAATTACTTTGAATAGAATTTTGAACATGAAATTTGTTAGCCGTCAGAACTACTGGGATTAATGTTAGTTTCAGTTTGCTAATCGGAAATCTGAAATGCAACTTGGCCAAATTCAAATGTTCTAATTGGGCGTGAAAGAAAGTCATTAGAAAGTCAACTGGCTTTCAAATCAGTGGCACTGCCTTAATATTCACTTCTGTACGTTATTCAAATTTATGAAACGAGGATTTTTCTCTTTTATAGTGCTTTCATTTCCATAATTTTTCAAAGGCCTGTAAAATAATTTTTAATCACACACCGAAAGCCTAAGTATTTTACACATCTTGCAGCCGTCTGTGTCCGCAGCCGACGGCCTAGTTGCTAGGTGAAATCGCTTTACTAAATACTTTTTGCCCTTTTATCTGGGAGGAGTTATAACTCCAGGGCCTGTGAAAAGCATTCTTTCAAACGGTAAAGTTGCCTAGTTTTCACAGCAAGCATAATTTTCCAGGCTTCGCTGACCATATTCTAGTTCATCTTGGCGTTGCGTGGTGATCAATCCTTACGAAATGTAGAAAATGAAGTTGGAATGCTTGGGCTGGTTTCGCTCTCGGAAACTCCTTTACCCAAAAATCACCGTTTTAAGTGGTCTTGTTTCGGATTAGTTGAGACGCCCGCCTAAGGATCACTCATTTCAATGTTACAGGTACCAGTTCGTTCGACCGCCACTGCCACGACTGTTCAAACCACCACGGTGAAGGCTACGTCAGCATCAAGGTCGTCAGGGAGACAGATGAAGGCGCCGACAGCGACGGTTACGAACAATGTGACTGTGCCAGCACCACTCTCAGAGGCTGATCCATCGATTAAACCGCCTGGTCAGACCGCCGTAACAAAGTCTAAAACCGAGTTTTCGACGCCGGCATCTCATGTTCCTGGGGGGCACGAGATTATTTTGGTCGGCGAAGGAGTAAGCGCTCCGTTTTCATCTTGAATCTATTTCCATTTTGCCATTTAACAGCCTTTTTTGATCAACTTCACTCGGCTTTTGACGATAAGACCATGGTGAGAACAACTTGCAATGACGAAATAACCGAGCAGAAGTCATATATTCATCAAGAAGGAAGTTTTATCTGCATAGGCATATAATTCCAAGTGCGTCTGACGACCAGATATTCCATCAATTACATATTTTTCCTACTTTAATGACATTGGAGAATTGAAGTCTTCCTCTCATTTCCTCCGCTTGTCGGGATTTTTCTCTCCAACCTATTAAGACTTTAAACTTCCACGGGATACTGTTTTATGTGCTCCTGTGGATGCGTTTGAGAAACCTTGATGGTAGGTCATCCATGTCATTACCTTTATGAATAGACTATCGAGGACGCTTTTTGACGCCGCTGCAAGTTTGCACTCAAGTTTCTCATATTCGCTACCTTTAATTAATGTGTGGTTGGTAAGGCTTGCACTTTTCTGGGTTTCCTGGCCATCAATGTTATGTTTTATGCTAGCTTTCTTTGGGTTAAGGATCTGTATTACATTGTTTTAACTAAATGCTATCTTGACCTTAAGTGTAACATGTAATGTGTTGCAGTTGAGGTAACTTGGCTAAATGGATCAAATATATGACAAGCGTAAACACAAATGTTAATTCATGCCCACTGGATAATTAATTTTAGCATGGAGGAAAACTTTTTTAACATTTACGGACATCTGAGGGTCGCATCTCAGAAACCCTTTTTGCTTTTTTCTTCGACTAAACGAAAATTGATTCGAAACCTGATTTGATTTGATACTAGAATTAGTGAATTGTTAATGATGTTTGCTCTGCTTCTGGCTAGGAATAAGGCGAAACTTATGGTTCTTTTGCTTTTGAATTTACACGTCATTGTATTAAAAGAACACAGGGAATTTCACTCGCTTCTCTTCCTGGTAATAAAGCATAGGAAGATATGCAAAAGCGACATAAGTATATTCCACTTTCAAACCCATTATTGACTGGCCTTTAGCAAAAGCAAAAGACCAAGATGGTGGTCGCACGGCAGCTGAACGTGCAACGACCGGTGGTCCCACTGCCCTCTAGCATTGGCGATGCCGGTCTCACCATCCCCCTTAGGTCACCGTCCTCTCCGCGTCCTATCCTTCCGCTGCCGGTTCCTAAGGTGCCCATCCCACCGCTTCACTCTTCGGCCGCTGCCACCGCCAGCCTGCCCGTCTGTAAGGCGGCCGCCCCACCGCCTACCACCTCGCTACATGCGCTGCGTGCCTTCAGTCAGAACCAGGCGCGGCGGGTGCGCAGACACCGCATGGCCATGGGCGCCTTGCGCAGATGTAGATTCGTCCCCGCTCCCCCGCCGCCTCCTCAACCGCTGCCTTCTGTTGCGGAGCCGTCAACGGTGGAGAGTATCCCGTTCCATTTGGTACGTGGGTTCCCTGCTTCTAATGGGTGGCAAAACATGACCCTGCACTTTTTTGCTTCTTCATTGTGAGAGGAGGGAGGAAGAAGAGGTCAGTTGACGCTTATAATATCGCCTCCCCTTTCGACGCCATAATTACGTTAGCTGGTTGTTTGTGGTGTTGTTCCTTTTTATTACTTTCTCGCTCAATGATAGGCTTTCTTGGTTGCAAAGGAGAGTATAAAAACAGATTAATTTCAATTATGCGTTGTTAAATCATGAGGTTTTCATTGCTACAGAGGAATTTATCATAAATATGCATAAATATATTACTGATGGTTTTTTTCATATTTCATATTTGACCGCATGTCCTGGAAGGCATTTATCTTGCTATTTGTGACGGTATAATTCATGACGAGATCCACATCGACGTTTCGTTTCTTCAGTTATGTGCAGACATTAGATATGTGGGCAAGCATATAAATCTTAATTTGATCACATGATTTGAGGAATTCATAGTCTTTTTGAAATCCGTTTCTGACATGGAAGTGTCGACTAGCCACTACACCCCGATTTTTAAGTTCTGACTACGGTATTGCCTCAACCACATCCAAAGTTAGAGTTTATCTTTTCCAACCGGTCTGAATGGTGGTCTTTTATACGGTTTTGGTAGTCACTCACACAATAACGGTCGCAAATCATGGGATTGTCCCTGTAAACCACTGCTTGAAATTTTTGGTTCCAAATTTCCTCAATTTGTATCCTTTTAAAATACCGTTTTTGCACTCGGGTTGCTGTCAATGGATTTCGGGTATCTCGGTTTGGTTAGATTTTGGTCACATGAAACTGAGAAGTAGCCTGGAGGCGCCTTCAGAGTAATCTTTGTGTTATTAATCAACGTTATAAAAACCGGATCGCTTAAAATTCTTATCCCTAAATGATGATTTTAGGCTAACACGTGTGTGTATTATTTCGCACCCCGAGGTAGTGTTTTTAACACATTCTGAGTGTCGAACTACCATTGTTTTCGATCTCATTTTTAACTTCCTTAAATGACCACACTCTTTTGCAGTCGACAGGCATTTATCTGTGACAGAGTCCCTATGTTTAAGCCAGTCAGTCGTGTGTAGCCTTGGAATACGCAAAAAAACGGAAGAGATGGTATCTTCTACAGGATCACCTTTCATTAACACTAATGAGTATCGGCGTAAAACTCTCTTTCCCCCGCAGACTGCGCGAGTCCGGTTCTTTCCAAGGTGATTTTACTGAGTAACCTTAGAACGAAAACCCAGTTAGGGTAAACATTTGGATCGAAGTGCGTAACACTTTTCCGTGACAGGGTTTTTTGAAGAGTACCTGAAGTCCCGTTTTTTCATTCGCTCTGCATTTTCACCTTCAAAATTGTTCTCTTCAAACACTCCATTCTCGCGGCGATTGCTCTGGTCGCCTTTAATATAAGTAGTTGGAAGAACCTTTCATTAAGAATTGCATAAATCGTTCAGGGAATACGAAAGGCACTTTTCGGTCTTAGGATATACGGCATGCTTGTTTATCTATTTACCCGTCGTTTTAAGGTAATTTTGACTAAAATACCCAGTAGTCGAGCTATGATTTGCGCATTATAACAGGAAATTTCATGTTAAAAGTGAGAAAACACCGTTTCGTTCGCAGATATCTATTAAATTTTACTTTTATTGCTGGAATTAATGACTATTGCATCATTATCTACAAAATCCATAGTTTTAATACAGCTAAAATTGGAAACGTGGCAAAACTAACAGAACGCTTTTTTCTAATGGAGAAACTATGAGTATTTAACATTTAATGTATTTTCAATGGGTAAATGACCGAATTTATGTCGATGCGATGACAAAGGTGTCATACGTTAGGTAGTGATTTTCGTATCTCTCATTTTATGGTGCATCATTTGATTAGCATCTGGTTAGGGTGAATTTGCTAACTCCTCATTTTTTACTGGACACATTCATTAGGAGCTTGTGCAGCTCAAGAAGTAAATGCTGCTTAGAAGCTGTGCGCTGATCACTCATTACCTTGTTCTGGTTAAAATTGTTTCGGACTGACTAATTTCTACTGCCACTCTCCCCCTCCCACGGTCTTGTTAGCAATGTGAACGAGGTAACTAAGCAAATCGCACAGACACATTACTCAAAATGTCAAGTCACTGATTTGTGCTTTTGTGACAATTGTGTGTTTGCCCTGTCGGTTGTCTGTCTTTTCCCAATTAAGGAACTTTTCTGTGCTAAAAAATGACTGAAATTGGCAAGCAGTTCCGTCGCCGGAGTATTGGCGGACATACAGGCACACTTTTCGATACTAGTGTGGCTCTGCCTTTTTAGTGAAAATTAACTAACGGAGATGTGTCCATTAACTTTTCATAAATGTCTTATCCTTGTCCAAGATCTTCCCGTTTCCTGAACAAACTTGCAGAGTATGACTTGCTGACATTTGTTTATAGGATTGATGAAATTCTGAGGAAGTTATTTATCCGTTTTAGTATATTTTTACACATTAAGTTTTCCTATCGTAAATAAGTTACTACATACAGACATGCACCATACATTTAATTGCAGAGTAGTAGAAAAGGGTAAGTTTTTCTTCCCGTTGTGGATAGATTGCCCAGTCATGTTGCAAATTATTTCCATTGTCATAAACTAAAACACAACGTTGTCTCCGAACAGATCTGGCTTGGCTTCGTATTCCTCGTACTTTGAATGCGCTAAATACCGAAACGTCATACGATGCAATAAAAGCCACCAGTGAGTACTGTGTTCCATTACCTCACGTAAACAGTTCTCTTCAAAGAAGGATGGATAACGACTGACATTTCTAAGGTCCCACCATCTCGCTACCCTTGTTAGTGGTCTTGTGACTCCCACATTTTGTTATTCCTAGATGCTGTATGAATAATTCGGCATTGTGTTTTTAATTATATCTTTAAACAATGGCAATCTATTAATTCATTCACATGTTGATTCTATAGAGGCTTGTTCAGTTTAAATATTGCATATTTATGTAGCTGCTGGTTTAACAAGATGCCTTGCTTATCACAAAGTGGTCATTTAGGTCCGCCCTTTGTAAAACATCACATCTCCTTTGCGAATACATTCGCTTTCTGTGTAAAGATTAGATGTGTTCTGTTTGATTCGCCGCTATTTTCGTGTGAATTAATGCTGAGAAGCAGTAAACCATGCAGCATTACGGAAAGTCTCAATTCACATAAGAATTAATGGCAATTAGTTGTATAAGGTTTATTACTCCTCAATTTGGTCTTAAAGCCCTTCAAACTGAGTTAGCTATATCACCTCCTTTCTACTGACCCTTTCTCGTCTAACTCCGAACTGCTGGAACAAATGCTGTTTATCTTTAAACTCAGCTACTATGGAAAAAATCGCCTAATGCACCGCCTCTCCATGGCCATCACGCCGTACTTCTTTCATCCGAGAAATTTTTTTACCGTTAAAAACGTCCTGCTTAAATCAAGTCTAAAATGCTCTTTTTATGGTCACCTCCGAATTATGCTGGCTTTGTGATGCTGGTGTTGTCAAACTTGGTAGATTTATGATGTGCTATTAATAACCGTTCCTTGCGAGCACGAGTACGAATAAAATGACTGAGTGAAAGTCCATTTCAAAAGCAGTAAAATTAACGGCTACATCTGCTCTACCGAGCGGGGAAGATGTAATACTCGCGATGACCAAAAGTGGTCTAATTATCTGGAACAGCAATCATGGTTATGTATTTGATTTTTCATGATTTCCTTGAGGCAAAGTGCTATTGTCCCCAATTTTGCCTAGGCTCAGGGCGTCGTCGTCACCAATCCGGTCGCAGAAATACCTGTCACGGGGGCCCCGGTATTGACCTCCCAATCAAACCAGGGCGAGATAAGCCTCCCCTTCTCTATCGACGCCTGTTCGAATGTGTCGACAAGCGATTCGCTTAAGTCACTCCTCAATGCTTTCATGGCGAACGCTCCGCCAGGCCTGGACCTGGGAACCCCCACAAAGGAGGTGTCTCAGCCCCTATCCTCACCCAACTTCCTCCACTTCACGCCCGAAACCCAGGCTACCACCGATATGGTCCATCAGGAGGATTCCTCTTCTTTTTCAACATTCATTAACACCCTTGCAGCTAATCAACCCACAACCTCGCACCTAATGGAGTCGCTTTCTTTGAACGATTCCTTGCAGCGTAAGGTTTTATCATTTCGGATCGGGTTCTGTTTCATCTCTCGGTATGTAGTTATTTATGCTTCCAAATTATCGCATAAATTGGATCGTTTCCTATAGTTAGCGTGAGCTTTCTCCCGTATCACAACTCATTTATCCAATGCTCGCTTCTTAGAAAAAATATACCAGGATATGATACAACCATCTAGCACCTCGACGCTTGATCTTCCGTTGCGCTCTAAGCTCCCAGTGTCTGGTGAAGGTGATGCCACCCATCCGAGTGCTGAAATGCACGGCGGGATAGAAACGATCAAAATTGATGAAGTTCAGTCAATCTCTCAGGAGCAATACCTACAACAGCAGCAGCAGCTGGGAGAGGAAGAACAGCAGAACTTACTGCAAATGCCTCGAGAGAAGCAAGTTAGTTGCATTTTGCCTGAATATCGTTAAGGGTTTTTTAAAATCGTGGTTTTTTTTTACGGATTTTCGTTTGGAAGGTTTTCTTGCATTTGATACTTTCCTTTTTGAAATTATTTACTTCATTGTAACTCTCTCACAGTGGTTGAGGTGATTTTCTATTGGACTGATATGATAGTTAAGGAACCGTTTATTTGGTTATGAACGCTTATTTCTCTGTCCTGGTAGCACATAACTTTGACTGTGGAGTTTGATGAAGATTTTCTGGTGAACTTTGGTCAATCTTGCTTGCGATTGCGCGTGATGCCAATAAAACCAACTTCATGACTTATCAGAAGCGTGTATTTATTACTTGTTCAATACAGATAAACTTATTTGTTCTTTTTCAGGAGGGTATCAAACGCTATTGCAATGTCCTGCTATGTTTATGTTCGAGCTATCATAAAACCGCTTTATATGCCAAGTCACTGAGGGAGAGAGTAGGTGGCTCTCATTCAAACCGACTTGCGCACTCAAATGTTGCTTTAATGCAGCAGCTGATTTGTGCAATTTAACCCTATTTTGTGTTTGTGTGCTATCCCAGATGGGGGAGTAGTAAGCTTATCTTGTGAATCTGAAAGCACCTTTTGCGCAATAAAAAAGGAAAATTATCAAGTAGTTAAAAATGAGATTATAATTTCGATATCATCAGAGTAACTAAGCCTGCTGAAAGCATCTGAGCCACAGCCGTGAGTGTTTTTACCGTCGCATTTAGAAGAGCGAAATAAAAAACGTAACCACTTGCTTACCATTCGTGAGGCGCTTGATAATTTCAATTAAAACTATATGGAAATAATTCAATCGTGATATCGTTATGAAATTCAAAGCAGGTAAAATACTATGGCGGTGGGCAGCATCTTTAGCGTGATGGGCTTCTACTTGTAAATGAAAATTAAAATAACCATTCCGGTGAACTTTTGGTTCATTTCTGTCCCCAAATAAATGAGTCTTATGAATTCTGGGGGGTAGATACTCGACCTCTAAATTTTTGTTTTTTTCTAATTCGTGTTGATTATAGCAAATGCACCCGGAAGGGCGATGCAGCCTTGTTGTAGACCATGGTATATTTATCGTAGGCATTTTTTGTGTGCATCCTCAATACACTGAATGCATCCATTTTCAGGAAGCAAATCTGGAGGCTGTTTTTGTGCCTTTTTTGGTCACATATGATTTCGAGATGCATTTCTGGAATGTAAAAGCCTCTAAGCCCTTCCTTCTTTTCACACTTACATTCTATCAATCCTTGTCAGTCTTTATTACCATTGATCTCCGAGAAATTATCCCTACGTTATCGGTTTATCCCTCCGGAGCGACAGTAGGCACAAGGCGCATCACTGGCCTCCAGGCTCCACTTCTTATTTATCCCGATTTCATGGCTATTTTCATCAGTATGGTGTTTTTTCGTGGCGAATAATCTCCCAGTTGATGTTGTGACTGTCCTTTCATCGGCCTTTTCTGAATGATGACAGACCAGTGCATGGAAAGGTAACATGATCTTACTCAAGCCACTTTATTCTTTCTGCCAAAAATTCATCTATAAAGGCCAAATAGGCGACGGATTTGCCACCATACTGCGTAGTGTAAATGTCACCTTGTATCCTATCTCCAATTATTTTTTATGTCGCCGTCTGAGGGTGTTCACCTTGAATCACATCTAGAGATTGCTAGTCGGGCGGCAAAGTGAGACGGGGGATTTTGATTTCTGTTCTTAAGCATTCCTTTGGTTTGTATTTGCTTTAATTTTCCAATTAAATACTTCGATATTTACTCTTTCATACCCTCCTATCGCCCCCGCCTCACTTCACCTTTGCCATTCAAGTAGATTGAGTCACACTGATTTTCATCCCAAATCATCTAAAGGGCTTTTTAAGCATAGCCCTTGAATTCGATTACCTCTATGACACTTCTTGTTGGAGTATTTACGCTCATTTGGTAAATAGGATATTCAATCATAGCTACTCAGAAGCATCATCGTATAAAACAACGTATCTGCGTAACTATTCGGGAAGTGCGATGCCCTCAAAAGTAACATTAATGAGACGATGTGGTGAATTAAGGTTACCACACACACTTGCTCATAAACAAGTGGTATTTGAAACAGTGGACGATGTTTGTCCCTTGGGCAAAGGAATTAACGCCACCACCTCCTCCCCTTGGACTTGGAGAAAGTTTCACATGTGTAATTTTTCTCGTGGCTGATTTTTAACTACTCTGCCACATTATTTTTTTGTACTTTCACTTTCACTCTACCTTAAAGCACTTTTAAATCTTGTTTCTCCTCAGTGAAATTAACCGCAAATGAGTTTTCCAGTTTATTGTGTGAATACCCGGGACTCCGCTCACGCAAGAATTTTAGGCAGATTCAGCACTCATTTATTCATCAGAACCTACTTTTGATTCATTGCCATATCGTCTGTTTCCCTTCATAGTTGATGTTGATGCATGTTTTATGCGACCGATACATTAGTATATTTTCAATCTCAAAATGGGCTTTTAATTTACCGGTTTTGAAAGTGTCTGGAGTAGATTATTGTTACTCAAAGACTTATTGTTCCTATTTCAAAGCAGAAATGGCTGTTACAGGGTGAGGCCGGTAGTTCAAGACAGTGGATTAGTGTGAATTGGAGCTTTAATTCTGCATTAATAAATAATCGCTTTGATCTCCATATATGCGACATCAGATACCTTTGTTTTCGAATAACAATGACTTGTGGAACAACTGAATTATTCAAATAAAATCCTTTACCTTATTTTTTTTGTAGAATCAAACGGCGCCGAAGACCTACGCAATTGGTTTGAGACATATATGAGTGAACCCTCAGAGAGTCCGTAAATAAGTATGCAAACAGTATTGAGAAATATAATTAACCACTTATTTTGCTAACCGTCTTTCCATCAGCTTTTTATTCTCTCTAACTCAGGATAATACGTCCAGAGTACGGCTCCTACTTTTTTCAACTTGAGCGCTCAAACTTTTTTTCACATCCTTGAAAATTGTAGGTCCAAAAACTGAATTAGACGGACAGGCGTATTTACGATTGAAAGGCATTTCTCGTTTTAAATTTAAAGACACGCATTTGGTCCTTGAATGGGTGTCAGCAAACCTGGGGTCTATATCACTTATGAATAAGTAATGGCTAAATGCCTGACATGGGTGCTCACTTTGTACCCAGTTTAAAAGTCAACACTAGTGCCTTAATAGATACTTTAACAAATATTTTAAAAAAAGTAAAGCATGATAATTCCTTTTACGTTATGCAAGTAGTTCACATTAACTTGACACTTCATGCATTTAATTGCATGAAGTGGCGTGATAAAACAAAATTTCACGTGGCGCACTTTGCCTCACACAGCGCATAGGAGCGTGAGGAACTAGGACAACTTTTATGGTGCTTGGGTTAGGTGTCAAACCATGTCCATGAACCCACCGCCAGGTTGTCGTCGAATAGCAATACAAATAGCCTGTACAAATGCTACCCTCTCCACTCCGAGGTCAGGAGAGGTGAATAGATGAGGATGCTGCACGCTGATAATGGGTCAGTGTACGTCTCGGGCAAGCAGTTCGGAACAGGTACGTTTCAATAAAATATTTTTTTGAGCATTGGCAGAAGACAGTTTCAGTGGATGGCGGATTCCGACAACTACTTTTATCCATTACAATTCCCTGGAATCGCGCAGGTAGGTTCTGGCAGCTAGTATGTGCCCTCGCTATGCATCTCGAAACAAAATGGTGTTAATTGAAGGCTCATTTTAGGTGTGGGTGATTCACACTGCTGAAGAGCACTTCGTGAAGGGCCATGCATGCCGACTTGTAAGAGGGCAGGATTTTGGTCTAAGGTTGAACGTTCGCTATCTTTGGTTTAAATTACATCTTTAGGCAAGTGCAAGTAATATGTATAGCGTAGCATTTGCCATTTGGGTGTCAGTCTAAGGAACAGTTTCTCGACTTTGCTACCGGGGACACCTATTGCAAAGTAGAATTAGAAGGCAACACGAATACATTTGCGTAAGTGGTTGTGATTGCTCAGCACTGTTTTTTAATTTATGGCAATTATTTATGAAACAAACTTCAGGGTCACACTAAAGAAATTTTATAGTCAAGTGATCACATCTTCGTGCTGCACAAACATTTGTATGCTGATGAACACGAATAGTTTATAGGAAGTTCAAGGATCTCTTTTGGGGTGAAAAGTGGTGTTAGGCGTCCAGATCTAATCTTGTTTGCACATTTATATGCACCCTAACTAAATTCCTCAGTTCGGTGGTTGTTTATGCACTAATTAACAAGTTTTACCACCTATTTCAAGAACAAATTTTAGCGTTTTTGTGGCAATACCTTTTTCTAGTTATTCATGTCTAGCGACGAATCTTTAAAAGCATAAATGCGGTACCAGCTCTAACGAATGAATATCCTCTGCCTGAGTTTTTTACGGGTGCATTCCGCACGTCAAAGAAAGTAAGTAAAGGTACCTTTTTCTATCATGATTATTGCATAAAGTAACAATCGAGGCAATATTCTACTGAATAAGTGGAAACTTTGCCTATTTCACCTAGTGCATTTATACCCAGCCATTCCATATCTCAAAATAATTTGTCGGACAAAAAACGTATTTGTCTATTTTTCTAATGAACTAAATGCCTCTCACTTGTTGTGCGCTAGCGAATGCACCACAAATCTGCCACACATCCCTGAAACGATACCACTTACCCTCCAGAAGAGATCGCATAGCGTGGATTTTCGCTGGTGCACGACCACACTGTTTCGTGGGGTTGCGTACTTTAGGCTCCTTGAATTACTATCCCAGATTTCTAGAATATGATTAAAATCACAATTTAAAGAGATTCAGGATTTTATATGAGTTTAGGCTTTGATTAGATATTAAGGTACCGACTCCAGCTATAAACTATTTAAGCAATTTTAAAATCCTTACTAGCTCTTAGCACATTAAGACAAGCTCTTGTTGAGAAAATGCCCCGCCATTGAATATTTCGAATTTTCACTAAGTAGCAAAAAGTAAAGCAGTGAGAAGCTACTTTGGATGAGAATCTTGCACACTGCTTGTTGGTATGAAGCATCAAGTTTAAAACCCGAAGTATTCTGCATTTTCTACTTCAACGCTTTAAATGTTAGCTCCTGTCATTAAATAGAAAGCATGCTGACATTCAGTACATCTGATTTTTGTAGTCTCCAAGTTTTCGGTGTGGTATATTTGACCTCGTTTATTTAGTAGATCCAAGTATTGCGAGAATTGCTTGACGTAGCCAAAAGATGTACGCCCAATCTTGTCTATTGATGCAATTTCCTCTATTTTGATTGGCTAATAAATGATGAAATTTACCTTGAGGTGCGTGGATTGGTCTTCCCCGACCAATGGGGATAAACCTTACAACGGATGTAAGATACTTTGAGGATTAAACTCGATCACATAATATTTTATTCGAGATTACAATTGCACTTGGATTTTGCGCATGTTTTAATTCCACTGCTGGTAAGTTTGATATATTTCTATGCACTGGTTTACACATTCATTACTAAGCCACCAGGTGCTTTTCATTTTCTTAGTTTGAGTTGCTGTTAAAAAGAGCAATCTTTTAAGTGGACAAAGTTATCACTTGACACACATTCCCGCAGATGCTGGGCTGCTTAGACATGCTTCCGTGTTAGAGACAGCTTACAGCGTTCGCTTTTAGGAATAATTTTATAGCGAGTCATGCAAAATCTGCCGTTTCCATTAATAATGGTTTTGTGCCCGTGCTCCTGGATACAATCCACGCTTTATGGATGAATTATCAAAGACTTGAATAAACTGGATTTTTATCATCCGAAAACATATGAATCTCTTTTTTGACAATTCAATATTATTCAGTAACTTTGTACTCAAGCGCTGTTAATGGCGGACACATAAAAGGAGTTTATGCTCTGAATGGTGCTTTCGAATTTCCACTTTATCGTATCACCGATTCATGAGCGCGACCGCGACTCATTTTAAAGAAGTTTTTCGATTTATAGGGCATTACAAATAATACGATTGATAGCTCTGCGAATCAGATGAAAATCTTTCTATTAAGTGTATTTTTAAATATCCGAATTGGTCTGACTTTTGGTAAGCGAATTTGGTGTCAAAAAATTATATTTTCTGTCAAATTTTGACATTTTACATAATTTTTGGTAGCTGCGATTATTTGATCTATGCTCAACTTGGGTTCTTAATTTAATTTGGGATTGTTAATAGTTTATTTGCTCCAGTACAAAAACCAAACTTTAAAACTACTTTATCTTCAAGATTATTTCTGAACAGATGCAATGTAAATCTCCTTTGAAAGGCGTTCCTATTCGCCTGTTTTTATGCCAAATGGGGCACAAATATGCTTGCTGTTAAAAGGAAATGTGTAGTGGATGAGAATCGGTAACGGGACAGCGAGTGCAACTTCCTGCCTGAGCCCTGTCACATGTTAAAAGCATGGCACGAAATGGTTAAATTAGGTCGGAACAGAGCTGGCTAAGTATGCGTATTAATCAGTGAATAAGTATCTGTGGAAATTTATATTGCTTTATTGCTTGCATTTCACATCAATTTCATATACAAACTCCAAAACTCCTGTTTACTTGCAATTAATCTGGTGCTGAAAGTTACAGCCACTTATTATAAATTTAGCTGATGAGTATAAACTGTCTGTCAGGTTTTATGAGTATTTGAGGCTTTCACTGAAAAACAAACTTGGAATTGAACAAAAATTTAACAATCTTTAACGATACATCAAAATTAAAACGAACGAATTTATGCACGAAGTGTTTTCAACTTTGCCTTAAATATGGGCAAAATATGCTTGAAAAAGTGTTTATATTCGCGTAAAATGGATCCCAAGTTGAATGAATTAGTGTTATGAAGAAAATATCGGATATTATTTTTCGTAATGTGTGGAACCAAGTCTTCTGAGCTCTTTCAGGCTGAAATCCGTAGCTCGGTAGGTGTACTCGAAGTTGAATGCCTCAAGCTTCCATTCCATTCAACACGACAATGAACTGCTTTTTATCTGCATGAAGGCCAGCCGTATGAGTCCTGAGAAACATTGACCCTGAAAAACTTTGCACTGCAAATGATCCACCCTTAACTGGAGATTATTTTTGGATCTTATGGTTGATTGAAGCGACCGGTTGAAATGTGGACAGAGATACCACATTGCTTGTTTTATGTGGAGTAAAAAGAAATACCTATTACCAGGAGGTACGTATATCATGCTACGAGATTAATAAATGTTTTGTTTTTCAACTTAATAAAGTGACCGAAAAAACTGGATGCTAAAAGTGGGCAAATATATTATCACTTTTAGGGCAGAACGGCACTGTGATTTACGTAGCTTTGCACGATAGAAAGTACAAAAGGGATGCATTTCAAGTTACGAATTTTTTTTGATTATATCGATTCGAGTATTACTATTTTTTGTTTTTTTTTACCTTTGCTTGTCACTGAGACAACGCAAATGTTCCGAGCACCTCATGAGCCATGTTGATTGATCTACGTTCAAAGTTCAAATTTTTCACAGCAAAACTACTGATATCATAATCCAATTCATTGATAGACAAACTGCTTCCATATTGTTTGTATTTATCCCCACTTTTGTTCAGAAGAGAATACACCTTTAAATTTCGCCACCCGAAGTCACCTGTGTATTTTTATGCTTTTGGGAGCATTATTTGAATTTTGTCATCAAAAATCTAGCTGGGGCTTTTTAAATCAAAATTATTGTTTGAAAGCAGACTGTTTTTATTTAATGATACTTTATTGGCCGGAATTTTAAAGATTTGATTTTCATTTTTATGCAACATATTTCTAACTGGGAAATTAAGTGGACAGATATACACTTTTGCAGTAGAAGATTAAACAATCTCAGTTGTCGGACTGTTTGGACAGTTTGGTAGGTGTCCATTGAGCTTGTCCCTTTATGCCATAAGACCATAAACTTTGGAAAAGGCTTTGTGGCCCTCTGAGTCGTTAGAGTAACCCATTGAAAATCGTCGGAACATAGGACATTGGGGGTGGCTGGATTTTGTAACCTTCTTTACAGTTAATGCCTGATAAATTATTCTTTAATCATTTTAACATGTCTCTTTATGGTGAAGACGTAAAATCAAGATGAAATGGTTTCTGGTATTTGTCTACGTTATACACGATTAAATAAAGCATGTTTGGCTCATCTTGTTTTTTATTTCTCTAGCGAAGTACGCCGTTTTAAAACGAGTCTTTTGAGCTACACTTGATGGAAAACACGGCAAATAATTCCCCTTTAATTATGCAGTTTACCTAGCTCACATTATCAAAGGATCTGTGATTCTTTTCAGCGTGGTCCACTATAATTCCAACAGAATTAAAGTCACGTTAAAAGTGTTTCGCGACTGCAGATTTTTTAGCTTGCTCATTGATAAACGAAACATGGTAGCTTCATTTAAGCTGATACGAGGGACAGTCCTCCATATATTCCTGGTCTCACTCACAAGAAAAGACACGACTTGCCACAACCGATTTGAATTTGCAATAGGAACTAATGAATAATGAGTATTCTGCTTAAATTTTATTCAATTCAAGTGCTGTATTCTTCAACACCATAACTTTTAGTACGGACGTGGTGATACATTTGTTATCTCTTTCATTCCAAAAGGTCAGTTCCATACTTTGAGAAGAATACTCACTTTTCGAGTAATGAGTATCGTGAGATTTAATGTCGAATTTCATGAAGAACGACTGTGTTGGAAGCCGAGTGAATGGAGCTACTTGATGTTGCGAAAATGTTAACAGGCATCACAAGGGAGTGGTCTCTCAAAAAGGCGGTTGCTCCAGCAACACATGACATAATAATGTACTGTTAGTTTGTCTTGCGTATACCATTAATTGTTGCTTGGAAAGAAAGATATCAAATGTTTCGTTATTACTGAGAATTAAAATCTTGTTTCACGAAATGGTAGCTGAAATTAAAACCGAACCGTGTTGGCCTGGGATTTTAGCGAGCAATTCAGGGTTGTGCACATACAGAGATATGCTCATTTGTTTATGCGACTATTCCTCCCATCAAATTTTGGTGTTTACTAAATAGAATTTAATAATCGAATCTATCGTTTCCTACACGGTTGTGGGCCTAGAATTTCGCTTGGCAAATTGTTAACATTAACTGTGTGTAGAGTACTTTCCCTGGCACTAGCAACGTCAAGGGGAAGGGAGTCATGGAGCCAATTTGATTAGAAAGTGAATGAGATTAAGGAGAAGCGCCCGCTAAGTGAATAAACGTGTTTGATGGGCGGACGGAATCGATGGCCTCCACACCCAAACGGATGACTTCCACATATGCGCCATCGGGCGTGCGCGTGTGTATAGGGCGGGGGCTTGCAAGTGTTCGCAAAGCCCTTTTGGGTTAATAGCCCTGGCCCTAGGTGCACGCATCACCATTTCTGCAGAAGAATACACGAAACAGGTCCCTGTAAAGCACACTGAGGTGATTATCTTTATGCGGGACAAGCGTTTTACACTGCTCTAAAGTGTATCGTTACTTGTGCGAAATTTTAGTGCCGTCACCAACTGATAATTTGACTGTACTTTAAACTCATGCGTAAGATCAGTTAGCAATGTGGAGAAAGCCTTATTTAACCTCAAAAGCTGCGAATTTAAATTTTCTCCCTTTTTAAAATGGCATTTTAAATGCTATAAATGCTAACTACTTTTATTGGTCGACATCTTCTGGACACCTTTACTAAGCTTTTACGTAGTAATTATTCAATTGGTGAAAAAAAGTTTGAGGCGAAGAAATTAAATATGTCCATAAATTACCATGGAAGGAGTACTGGTTTCTCTGTTGGAAGGGGTATTTTGAACCCTCGTGTGATTCAATGGACCGAAAATTGGAGACATTTACGTGCGACATTTGACGGCAAGTTGCACGATAGAAAGACGAGGAACCCAGTACTATTTCACCTCAACTTTGTTCAGATACTACTTCCTCGAATGATTCGGCCAGTTCCTGCACAAATGCATATCTTAACAAAGGTGAAACTTCAGTACTTGGTATAGTCCAAAATATTGCAAATTAAATGCTGCATGTATAAATCTGCCAAAACCAAAATGCTAAATGTTTACTTCAAAACACTACTTTGATTGTTTGCTCAACTCTTCGTTTTGGTTACACAGGCGCTTAGGGCTCCGCCATTGTACTTCCGCCCTGCGGTATGGTCTCCGGGTCATGCCGGTCGGTAGTCCCTCCCCCTCTCCCCCCAACCTAGCCCTTTTGTACGCCGGCACTCCATTTTCTGCCTTAGGGTTATGAATAACTTCGGCCTCAGGATAGACTCGGAGCGCTAGAAACGCATTAAAGGCAAGCCACACTAGCGCGGTACTCGAAAAGAAACGAGTCTTTACTCGACCTGAAAAGGGGAAACTTGGAGAAGTGAAATTTCGCAATTTAAAAACATCGTGAGTATCCATATTTACGCTGTGTTAATATGCCTGCTCTCATTGCATCACGAGGATCTTTGCCATGCCAATTAAGTAGGAATCTTGTTTGGTGTAAAAGCCTCTCATTTAAAGCTAAAATACAAAATAATTCATAGACATTTATTAATTTGCTTGATAGTAACTTCATAAGCGACTTCACCATGTAATTTCCTCGTGGAACCGCTAGTCACCACAAAAGCCTTATCTGATAATTATTTAAATTTGAAGGCTTTTTACGTCTGAATCTCCGCAAACATTTACATCTTTTTATTTTTAATTCCAGCAGATGTGCTCGCATTAGAATTCATGGCAACCTTTCGAGAGATATTGCCGTGTTAAGAAAAAATACTCTCCTTATTTTTTGGCTTACAAAAGCAGTATGAGCTTTATTGTAGCTAAATTCCAAACTGAAATAACAATCTGCCTTTGCAAACTATATCAACCGAAATATTTTGTTTTCGTCAATTGAGTTTAACTTTATTGGTTATTGCCCCTATCACACCCGCCTACTCGATCCTGGGAGTCACCGAAATCTTGTGAGCTCAAAAATAATAATGGAAGCATATGTCCTCACGTATTATAAATTATAAACTTTGACCTCATTTCGCCAGTCCAGTGGCGCCGACTGGGGCAATGCCACGCAGGACAATCGACGGGAGATAGCATCGCTAGGCGTGGTTATTAGAGATAAGGCAGGCTTCTGAGAGGCCTTGGTTAAGGCCTACTAATTTTTTAACCTTCAGAACCCATGTTTAAAATAAGAAAGGACGTTATTAGTGCATTAAACAGACTCTGTCAAAATAAGACAAGGGTTTATTCCCATTGAGGCAAGCCCCACTCTTACATGATTTCTGGCTACCTATAGTTAGTAACCAAAAACATAACTAACGTATATGTAACCAAATGAAAAAAATGCTGACCTTTTCACTGAATGTCAGATAACTTCAACAGGTACCGTTCAATTCCTAATATCCATTGTCTAGCAGCAATTGGAGCAAGGTGCTATATTCATGATATAGTTATCAAATATTATAAACATGCATGTTGGAACCTTGGTCTCGGTATCAACAACGTTCAGTAGCGTGCAATTCCCTTAACAGACTATTATCTCTAATACACGCACAAAGGTGATCTTGGACAGTGCTCAAATCTTAAATACTACAGAGTGGAAGAAGAATCCATAACCATTCTCCGGCTTTATAAATCTGGTGAGGCCAACCTAAAAAAATTGATATACAAGGGATGATGAGATGGTTTGCATGAATGGCTACTGGAAGTAGTACAAAAATCAGTAAAACGAATTTGAGGGCTTATTCGAGCCTCGCCACATCTGTTTAAATACTACAATAGGAAGTACTGAGTTGATAATTTACTTAACTGTATATTATGCAAATATTATGAGTAATGAGGGGGTACTGGATGCTAAACAGTGATAACAGCGCTAAATTCGGGAATAAATATTTCTGGATATACTCATTTCACTTAGAATTTACATGAAAAAAATAACGTGAGTGCCAAATTCGGCTTTCACTCAAAAGAATTTTGATATTTTACCAAAAAATATATTACACTAGTGATGTTGGTATTTTACTAATGTTAAGCATCCTAAATAAAGTTTTTTACACTTACTCTCAATTGTAAAGGCAATTTAAAATATTTATTATTGTTAGGTACCTTTTATGCTTTAGCTAAAGCTTTGAAGCAGCAGTACTTAATTACATTACATCCGCTCCTGTCATAAACCAAAAGTGACTCTTTTCACTCGTAATAGTAGTCCCAAACGCTCAAGTGACGGGCTTAGAGGATGCCAAATTTGCGTCAAGCACAGCAGGTTGACGGTGCTTGGACGCAGCCGTCGACGCCGCGTCGACGACGTAACCTTTCCGGCTCGCCAAGCAATGCGTCCGCCCGGGCGATGCGCCAGCACATCCTCCATTCGCAGGCCTCGGTGGCTATTGATCAGCCCATCCAGTACTTCGATCCCAACCGCGCTGATAAGGAGATCATGGCGTCCGAGGACTTTAGGCTTGGGGGGCCCCGCAAATGCCTCTACACATCTTATCTCCGGGGTCGGCTGCGCGAGACAAGACCATATAGTCTAGACGACGGGACGATACGGAGTCAGCATCGCAAAAGCACCTTTACAACGCAGAGAGAAAAACCCTTCGTGGCCAGAGCAATATCATTTGATAATCCATACTTTGACGTACCTCAAGGTAGGCTTTGGTACACTTACGTTTCGAAACAATTCCTAGGTTTGTCTAGGCCCGAAAAAAGCAGTTTTTAGCACAGAATGTGCAAATATTACAGATCATTATTTTAAATTCTGCGTTAACTCAAATATTCCTTACAAACTGCTAATTGGGGAAAAGCCGAGTAGTCATCTGTCGTTGATTCGAAATCTCCAGCAGGCCAGAAAATGAGAAAAATATCGCGCAGTTTTTTAAACACTGGGAAGTTGTATTCGTTTAGAGGCAAGAAACGATAAATCAGCCAAATTCATTTCATTTTCACGCAATTTATGTTACTTAAATTTTAATAGTAGTATTAAAGTGAAAGGAAAATTGAAACTTTTATGGAAGAAAGGCATCGAAAATCCGTCAGTTTTTACTGGCTTCAGATTTAAAAACGCGGAATATTCTAAGATAAAGTGCTTAAGAGTGCACTTTAGGGCAAAATATACAGTTTAATGTATTGGATTCTAGTAAACAAATATTGACAAACCTTATAATTTGGTTTTAGGTCAGTGAATATTTAAAAACAGAGTAGAGTTGTATAAATGTCTGCTTAACAAAAAATCGCATAATTCCGTTATATAAGAAGTGCATTGGAGGCGTTACTTCTGATTCTTTGCATGTAATTACTTTGACCAGTGAGTAAAGTTATTCTTTATTAAAAAATTTCATGACCTCTTATTGCTCTGCAAGCATATCGAGTTAGACTAAGCGGTAATAAGGAGGAGCAGTCTATTAGTTGAGTATTTGTCCAGAATAATCAAATCTACTCATTACAACTGTTAATTCGGCTGTTTTGCTTTTGTTTTTAGCTAAAACTGGTCATAAAGAACAGAATGAGGTTCACAAAAATGATTTCGAATTCGATACAGAGAAAAATGTATCTTATTACGTTAACCTATGTCTAAAGGGGCTGATAGTATTCTCGTTGTGACTACTGTATATGGACAAATCCAATCAGCCTTGAATATGCTTTAGCCAATCATTGAGGAGGACTGGAAAAAATGTTGGGTCGCAGATATGAATTTAGTTCCCACAGTTGTGTCGTACCTAAAGGTGCGCACTGCTTCCTCTTTTTAAACATGGAACCCTTATGCAAATCACCTTCAGGTGAGTCGCAGTGCTCGAATCCCCATCCTCTGTCAGCGGAAAAGCCGTTTCTTCATAGCATTCAGAGCTGCACCGCTGAGGAAGACGAATCGGAATTGATTGACACGACTCCCGCATTACTCTCACCGATGCCCAAGTCAGACCTGGTTGTCAACTCCCCTGTTACAGAGTCAACCACCACACCGCAAGCAGTACGTCGCATCTACAAGTCCCGTCTCCATCGATCTGTCACTATCGGTACGGGTGATGAGAAGGATGACGAAGTCGGTACTACACAATCAATGACACCGTCGCCCCATCCACCAAGTGCGAGCCAATTTCGGAGTCGTGGAATGTCTCAGAAGACTCGTTGGACATCACGGATTGCAAGGATGAAATCGCTTCAACGAAGTCGTACAATTGACACTCGCGTGAATACAGTACAATGGAATCCCGGTTCCCTTCTTACCAGTCCGGATATCGACTTACAATCAAGTGATACGGGACCGACTGAGTATCAGCCACTGCAAGGTTCAACAAATAAACCTCAAAAGTGGTCGCCGAATGAAAGTGATCTATCTGCATATCTACCTAAGCACGTTGATCGTAGTCCAGGAGCCGTTGCTTATAAAAAAGGACGCCTGGATGCCGGTACACAGTATTGTACTCCATCCTCGTCTATGGAGATGGAGCAAGCTTCTTCTGCTGAGATGGGCTCGATAAATCGGAGTGTAAAAGTGTCTTTGAATAGCCCTGATGCTGGACACTACGCAACTCAGTCCAGTGAAATCGGTTCAGAAGCTGTGGGAGCAACAATGGCAACTGAAGGTCAGATTCCTTTGAATGCAGCCGCAATGGCAGATGGTCATGTCGAGGAATTGTGCGACCCCAGTAAACAAAGTACCTCCAGCTATCTGAAGGAGCAGTTCTTTGCCTTCTTTCAGCCTTCGGACAACAAGCTGGCTATGAAGTTATTCGGCAGCAAGAGCGCGCTGAATAAAGAGAAACGCAGGCAACAACAACACGGAAAGTGGATCATTCACCCATGCAGTAGTTTTCGGTAGGTCAGATAAAGCGAGTCTCTGTTAAGTTTATGTGACTTAATAGCGGTTACTAACTCGACATGATTGTAGTTTTTACTCAAACTGAAATATTTCATGGCGTTTAAATTTAGCGCTGAGTACAGTCATTCTCAGCAAGTTCAGGAACACATGAAAGGGCATAAAAGCCTTTCTTTTATGATTATCCACTTTATAATTCGCAACGATTTGTCTTCCGCAATATGTTGTTGGATCAAAGGTGTTCAACTGGTGGAGATTCAAAGGTTACTATTGATTGCCGACATGTTTTATCCTATTCTGGTGGCTAATTATGCCATGTTTGGGGTGGGGGGTAGGCTAATCAAGGTAATGAACCGTGTTTTGCTGAACCATAAACGCATTAAATGCATCCTTTTTAAAAGAGTCAACTTTTCTTGTTTGGCTAAAAGTTAGTAATGTCTAATTATCCTACCATGTATGACATTTATAGTTTCGATGTTGAAGCGATAATTGAAGATTCGCAGCACCTGCAAGGTAGCATTGAAATGGGGGACTTTGACAATGGTCTCCCAAAAGTCGCTTTATGCTGGTTTTTTTGCATGAGGACTGAAAAATGGAATTTTAGGAATTTGGGTTTGTTGGACTTGATTTACACAACCGTATGGTAAACTTCATTTCATGTACAAACTCTGCGGATAAGTAGTACCAAAAATAACAGAATTTAGCTTTTGTTCACACAAATAACTCCTAATTGCTAAAAATCTCCAGGGTTTTGACAGTCAGTTTACTATAAGAGCAAAAGCGAACTGAAAAAATTCAAAACGTAATGAAGGTTTATAGCACTTCTAAGTGGAATACTAAGTCTTTTGAACCACGTTAAAAGTTCAGATGTTGGAAGCTATTTTTACTGCGGTTGTCAAAAAAAGAGAAGTAAATGGGAAACCAATTTACAAAAGTTTCATTTTTAACCATCACTTGAATTGGACAAGCTACGGAGGAGTGGAAATAGAACCTGGCGCCTCAAAAGCGATTATGCTTACGCACAGGTAGTATGTGTAGAAATGACAACAGGCTGGAACCGGTGGAATGGTAGGACACTTCAAACGTATGCACATAAAACAGTCGAGGGTCATCAGCTTCTAAAAGTGTTAATTTTTATTCAAATGTTCTAAAATCGTGCCTCATAAAGTTACACATTTTTGGTGTAAAAATAAGTGGGATAAAAGGGCACAAAAGTTTTATTTTGTTTTGCTGCTAAGCCTGAATACGCCCCTGAACTGGGCTTCAAGAGCTCACGGAGGTACGTGGGTGCATCTGTTAATTGGGTTATGACGAATCATGCAGTCGTTTTTGCTTTTACCATCCAGAAATGACAATGATGAAACGACCAGAACTACTATTGCTGTCGGAGCTCTATACTTGCAATAGTCTAGCGTCTTTATAACTTTTCAGTAAAAGCGTTACTTTCTACGGAATAATTTACCCATAAATGGTAAGTGCCTAGGGGCCAATGCACCTTTTTGCAGAATGGCTTAAAAACAGCAGTTTGCGCCATTTTAGAGTAAATAGTAGTTTAAGCGGGGTGATTACTTCATGTACAAATAAAGTCTTTGAGATACGACAAACTGCCTCCCCCTTTTTGAACATTTTTGTGACTGAAAATGTGATGTTCCCAGAATTTTACTTTTTTCAAGAAATATGAACCGATTTTTTTTTCAAGCAAAAATATCTACTAGCCCGAATTCAGCAAATTTGAGACGTTGGTCACCACTCGATCCTAAAATTCTATTATATATTACTCCAGCGCCCCAAGGCCTCCCTCTACACGACAGCAGACATAATATTCGGACAGATTATGCCTTACCGACCTAGAGAAGCGCTTGGAGCTACCGGCACGGCCCGCAGACTGACACCCAGCGTAAGAACGAGGGCCTAGCCTTAAGTGCTCGCGAAACCAAAAAGAAGAGTTAGGCAAACAGACAGAGCATTACATAGCTATGTTTGGGGCAGAAACAAATAGAATAATATCCCCAAATTAAAAACTCACGAATTTATAACTTGAAACTAGTACCTTTTTTTGAATAATTAATAAAGTATGCTTCTTCAGACTGCATGTTAAATTTCGCAAGGTTAACCATTGCAGTCACGTAATACGGATACACCAACTTATATTATTTACCCTAATTTTAGATTTTACTGGGATCTCCTAATGCTCACCCTCTTGATTGCAAACCTAATTATTCTTCCAGTAGCAATCTCATTTTTTTATGACGACCTTCGGGCCCACTGGATTGTATTCAATTCCGTCTCGGATGCTGTTTTCATAGCAGACATCGCCGTTAAATTTCGCACGGGTATGAACAAGTACCTATTCATGCATTCCTTTTTAAAGATTGTTTGCGGTTGAATGGAGTGATTCAATATTTTCTCCAAGTTTTGTGCTTGAATGTTCCCCCTGTAGCAGCTGTCTGATTGACTGTTTAGTCATTAATGACCTTATGCTGGAAGTATTTATGTCACCAGGTATAATTACCAACGACTACGCAGACGAAATTATCCTTGATCCTAAGGAAATCGCTCGTCAATATGTCCGCTCCTGGTTTTTGCTGGATCTCATTAGCTCAATTCCCATGGATTATATATTTTGGGTGCTCAACAAACACGAGAATTACAACCAAATCCTTACTGCAGGTACGTTCATCTGCACATGTAGTTTATCTTTGATGTGGTATCTGTACTGCTAAACCTCTTTGGTTCACTTCTTGTTTGTAAGCTTCCACAATTAGTGCATCCATATTTTTTAGGAGAACGTCCCAAGTATGCGACATGAGTTTACCAATTTCAGTGCCTTTCTGCTTATTTTTAATGCTACCATAAAAGTAGCAGTTATGTAAAAGTACCTCTGAAACAAATTGCGATAGTTGACAGGGTTTACTTCATCAAATGTCCCAATAATTTAAAATATCATGCCAACGAGGGTCCACTAATTTGGCAAGAGCTGCACCGATTTGTACTATATGTTAATTTGGGTCCCAAATTAATACTTCTTAACTTCAAGGACGCACACTGCGCATACTGCGGTTGGCCAAGTTACTCAGTATGCTTCGACTCCTTCGGCTCACGAGGCTTGTTCGATATGTCAGCCAGTGGGAGGAGGTAATTGGCCCCTTCATGAACTCATTATTTTGTATGCTGGTGGTTCACTTAAGATCCCACCATTCCTTTCCATCATCACATTCTTTAGAAAACCTGTCAGCTCTCAAGCGCTAGGGGGGGGGGGGGAGGGCGTGGATAAGCCACCCACGAGGAAGCATTCCATTTCAATTCATCATGCTAATGATTAACATAAGTGTATCTAACAAACATAGGTAAATGAACCCTTTTACTTGAGTGCAAGGATTTTGAGCATATGCAAATGTGCTGTCACTTTTTTCACTTTAGTGTAGGTGCGAAACTGGTGCGCTTATATTTTCGTATTCATAGATTTTGCTTTCCCTGCCCCCACGAATTTTACGATGTTTATTGCAAACCAAGTGTGCAACTATCAAATGCTGTCACTTTAAGAGGTGACAGAGGCTTTTAACAGAATACTTTGACTAAGGGAATATTCAGGGCAAATTGCAAAAGCTAATTTAGCATTTAGTGCACACACACTTTCCACTCTAAATAAGTACAGTAAATGTTCGCCGTCCATACTGCTTCTATTGGTGGGTATGTGCATGACTTGTCCACAGTAAATTTTTCAGTTTCTCAACATTGCAAGCAAATTTATGGGCATTTTCAATCTCGTTTTGCTGATGCTGCTACTTGGACATTGGAATGCCTGTCTTCAGTTTCTTATTCCCCTTCTCATGGACTATCCCGAGGATTCGTGGGTCCAACGATGCAGGTTAAAGGTACATCGAATACTTTCAAAAAGGTCTTAATAGAAGTGATTTGCTTGTGAAACCAAGTTTAAAACGAATCTTTTTGATCACATTTTTGTTTTGACCATTAATTCAAATAGGAAATACTAACATTGCACAAACATTTTTCGCCGAAAACCAGCCTTATAGGCAAGTCAAAATATTGCATGTCGTCAAAGCTAACAAAACTTCACCTTTTTATGAAGTTGTGCATTAAATTAGTCAGAGAGAAATGCTTCGTTAGTTAAATGCCACTAACTTTTAATTAGAGTATAAATGGACTAAAAAAGAGTATTCTTCTGGTAACTAGCTTATCTTGATATTTAATAAGGCACTTTCCCAAATGAGCCGAGCGTGACCATGGGAAGCGAATGCATTACCCAGATAGCAAGTTGCATCCACCTTTTTGAAACGGTACACTACCCTTCTCTCATCAACCTTCCTTCCTTGATGGATTGTGCATTAACAGCTTCGGTGAGCGATAAACGGCGCATATGTTAGTGAGTATCTCAAAAATACCAATGTTTGTTGTGTAGAATGAGCGGGCTTTGTTTTCATGTCAATCACTCTTACCTCGCCAACCTTGGACGGTTTGATGCAGATCTCTTTCGACTTTCGTGCATTTTCACTCAGAGGAGCTGTTATAGCCAAAAACAATAACAATGCAGGCTCTAAAACTGGACTCTTACCGTCACAGTGGTAAAGTGCCTGTGTTTTGGCTGCACTACTTTGCTCAACTATGCCACTTATTTTTTGAAAGACTTATGTGCATACTACTTTGACACTTGTCACATTTTGTGATTCAGGTGGTAACCAAAACAAGGTATTTTAAGTAAAATATAGCAACTCGCTTTTAATTTACGAACATTAAGTATTCTAGAATTTTATTACTTGATTAGTAGATTGTGCCACGAAAAAATCGCCGTTAGCATTGCTAATATAAACAAGATCAGCGACAGAATATTGAGGAGTTGGAAAAAAACGAAAGTTAATCTTGCCTGCATTTATGTTGAGGACTAGTGCATGTTGAGATGCTGAATTTGAGCGAAGGGACATAACTAAAATTAATAATTTGGTGAATAATTGTGCAAATTAGTGTTCTTATGTACGGGTACAATAAGTAGGATAAGAGTTCTCCTCTCTCATTGTATTTTGAGAAAACTATGCTGCCTCACACCTTTTGATGAGATATTTCAGGATTATATTCCATCGATAAATCGCGTTGGATAATAATTCACACTCCATAATAAAGGTACAGAGTGAGGCGGAAAAAAAGGCAAGCAAGAGAAACAGTGCCCTTGCTTTCCATAATAGAGTTACACGGCGTAAAGTTGGGTCCCTATGCTTCAGTCAGAGGTTACAGAGTGGAATTTCGTGAAGCATTTTAAAACCTGCAGGACAATGGTTTCTTGATTTTGAAGAATTTAGATGGTATTTTGAAAGGAGCTTGGTTCCACCTAGCTTTGTCCGGCTTCTACAAACACGGCATTCTGTGTCAATGCCGACCGTGACCCCCCGTTTTTATTAAAATTTGGTATTGTTTGGGATCGACACATGTTAAGATGGCAAGGAAAATCGCAGATGTTTGTATTAAAACAAAACAGACGTTTGGATGTAGGTATCCATCAACTTTCAAGTGAATAAGGAAATGTGTGTAGTATTTATACACAGGATTGGTACCACAATGAATAATGCGACAACTGTCAAATTACACGGTATCACGTAGCCTTACTGCAATGCAAGTAAGTGCCTGGCAAAATTTTTTACACCCGCGGTTCGGTAATTAGTTTGAGGTACTAGGAATATGCAATTTCTGTAAATTCATTAGAGTTACTTCCAAGATACGCATTCGAAGAGCACTTTTTTCCAAGAGAGGTTACAAAGCTCAGGGCAATTAACTTTTAACCAAACTTCTACTTTTTTGCAACGAAAATATATGACAATCTAAATTAAACTGAGTCTTTGCTGCAATTTTATCTCAATCTCTCAAGTAGTTACATTTTTTTTTCTTTCAACAAAAGTTTTCCTTGTTTTGGAATGTGTGACGATGAGAGTACGCCGATGCGTGAATCAGAATGAAGTTAATTAAGAGAAGTAGGGAGCTAAATTAAGTTCTGATTTATTACTTTTGGACTCGGCCAACTCATCCACAGTCTATGCAGCATTCATTAATTCTACAGACCTTTTCGAGGCATAATTAATCACGAGTGAATTTAAATAGCCTCTTATTTGTTGCATGCAAAGTTTAGCGAACTCATTTTGAGTGATGAAATGAAAAAAAAAATTTCATGAGACATTGGAATTTACAATAAACTAACAAAATACAGCCTTTTGGCTATAAGCGAGGGTTGAATACAAATTATTTATTGCAATATGTGTTGGAAAGTCGAGACGTTATGCACGAAGTATGTATTTTTTGGAAAGGAAAGTTGAACACTTACTGAGTAAAACATGGGAGAAAAATACCTGTTTATCCCAAACCCCGAACATTGCCATAATCCTGTTTTGTGAATTACTGTAACTTCCATGAATTTTTCAGCTAGGAATGTTTATTTGATGTTACATAAACCCACTTGAATGTCGTTTTTATTTGCAATATAGTAGGAGTCCTGATTGTGTGTCTCGATTCAAAAAGATCAAAGTCTTACGCATTTCTAAAAGGCCAACCTTCTTCCAGAACAAAATTTTTCCGATTCAGGACACCTATTTTAATTCCACCTTTTTGCTTACCACTTGAATTGCAGTTGAGATTTCCCAGACGAACGAAGCGTCTATTTGGGACCTAGATTTGTCAAATGATACAAATGAAACAGCATATGCAGTCGTAAAGTTAATCTTAAGAGTTGCCACTGTTTCGTCAGTACATTTAATCCATTGTCGAGAATATCAAGATGCTTGTTTATTGCCAGTGTTGATTGATAATGAATCGGCGCACCCGGTTTCGAGGTCTACGAAAATGCCTAATGTGAGACTTTAAATTTCACACTTTAGACTTAAAATAAACACTTTACTTAGAAATCAACGCCTTTCCTTGTCCTTAATCAAAGTAATCACGATTTTTTTTGTATATTTTATCCTTACTCTAAAGAGAACGGTTGAGTTATTGAGTGCTTTGTTACCCACATAATCAACAAAAGGATGTCTTCTACACCATTCTACCTCAATTTTGAATGACAAAGTCCCTCAGACGAAGATCCTTATCGAATGAGGAAAGGTTTTAGTGGCGATGAAATGAGGGCCTTTACTATAAGATTTATTTGTAGACATTGAATATGTATTTTGAATGGTACCTTATCCGTTTCACTATACTGTACATTCTCTGTCTGTATTCTTTATGTTCAAAGCACTGTCTTTTCGAGCCGCCGAATTTTCACTCTCCAACTGCTATCGACTACCAACCGCTAGTTTTTATTAACAGTACCCATCTGTTCAAAACTTTAAATTTGCCAAATGTCGGACAGATAAAAAATAAAAGTGAAGGCAACTAGGCTTCAGTGCTGGGACATTATTGACAACCATACCATGGGATCATCAAACGCGTCTGCTCTAGGCCTAAATTAGAATAAGTTCTCCAAATAAAGCTGTCTAATATCATGCGAACGCGTTTCCACATATATTAATAGCATAGAAAATGCCGAAGCTAATAATGTGGTCTAAAATTATGAAGCTTCACATTCGTAATGGGTATCTGAGGTGGAATGTTCACTGCGTTAAATGCTTATGAATGCAAGCAGGATATTTAGCTGAAGACTAAACTGCAGGACTTTCGTTTTTTTCATCTATCACTGGTTTCAAGCCCTTTGATTGCGACGATTGATTTCTTGAGGGAATAATGCATTGTAGCAAAGCTTTATGAGGAACTGGTATCTGTTACTTCCTCGAAGATTGGCACTGTTGCTTCAGATATCGGGTCCGTCGCATTCCGCGTCTTGTTACTTCACAGGTGTGGTCAAACAACCATTTATGACAAAAGGCCACACGAATATAAGGAATTGCAAGTAGTCTTAAAAGGGTATCAGTCAATTCATAGTAGAACCATCTTAATCAAGATGCATAATTTTAAACATTCTTATCTCAGTCTTGTTGTAAAAAGCTTTTTTAAATCACTGGCTCTTTGAAATAATTTTAGATCATGAAGCATGGCTACTTTTGGTGTGCTACCGACCGGCAGAAATCCAATTAAGTAAATTGTTTTAATGTATACTGCTGTGGAACTTTAAACTGATAGTTGCACTAAAAAAATTAATTGTACGAATGATTCCACCTGTCTGATTGCGAAATTTGCGTAACATGGTACACAAAAATAATCATAACCTCGCTTTTCTTTATCCTAACGAAAGCCATTTTCGCATTAGAGGAACTGGCAAGGAGAATTTTGGCCGACCGGAGCAGTTTTTTCATAACCTTGTGTGGCCGATTCGTTTCTGTTCAGCTGGGATAGCGTGGTAACCATTTACTGTCTCAGGAAATTGTATCCTTGCGAGTACCCAGGGGGTTATTGAAAGAACTCTGCAAATGAAGTGAAAAATGGAAGTTTTTTAGTCGCAAAATGAGTAATTTTTTGCGAAACACGAAGTTCGTACCTTCCGTTTCCCATCCAATGGCAAGCGGAATTTATATTTTCCGGGATATCATAATATCAGGAATGGTTTTACACAAGGGAGGTTCAAGAGATGAAGGGGATGTGGAAGGTCATTGGTTTTATTGAAAATGTTTAGGCGGTGCGGGGTTAAAAGACAAACATAAAGTAATTTTTAGTGCAAAAATGGTATAAAGGCCTAAGCTACGTAAAGAGGCGATTAAGTTGAGTAACTTTTGGTTCTTCTACGGATGTTAATTAAGTTTCGGTTCTACATGGATGTAAGCTCAAAGAAATTAAGGAGAAGGGAATAAAACCAGATTTATGTTATATTATGAACTGGAAACGTCCAAAACAACTTTTATACCACTCTATTGAGATTTTCGTCAAATTTGTAATGAATTCCTTCAAGAGCAGACATTTTGGGTAAATGAACTGCATTAACAAGAGCAAAGTGCCAACTTTAAGTCGTAAATAGAATCTTTTTATGATTCAGAAGGATTATACTTTTAGCCATGCCACTTCTCAGATTAAAATAATCCACACTTCTATGTACACCAATCATTCCGGATAAAACTGTGTATTTGTAATGAACACAATTGAAATGGGGACTTTACTATTTAACCAAATCTGATTTCCGGCTACCGTGGTGGATCATAGCGCCTAACTTTAGTATAGCAGCACAAAATTTGATTTCGTCTTGTAATGGAAGCAAACTTAGAACAATCACATTGCCATCCCACGGTGATTAAGGTTATACGCGCATTTTATTGCGGGAATTCATTAAATGAACCTTCATTTTTAAACAGCAGAATAATCCATCCTACTATTTGCAAATGAAGCATGTCAATACCATACTTCGGCATATTTTTACCATTAATTGAGATACTAATTTTATATCACACCTTCAATTTGATGTGAGTACGTCCACCACACAGACATCATATTTAGACTCTTATGTCTTCTAAATGTGGTACTTCGACGCCTAAGAACAAGAAACTACACTTTATTTCTTCCCGGCCATCTAATCAAACCATCATCTAACCATTTAATTTGGACGTTTTCAAATCAAAATAGTGTCACTGGCTTTTTACAGAACTGAGGTGATTAATAATGATGCTTTCTGCACTGAAGGACGCAGACTGGTTTGAGCAGTATACCTGGGCACTATTCAAAGCCATGTCCCATATGCTCTCCATTGGTTATGGACGCTTTCCTCCGACCAGTATCAGTGAAGCTTGGATTACTATCGTCAGTATGATGACCGGGGCCACCTGCTACGCACTCTTCGTAGGCCACGCTGCGGCCCTCATTCAGTCCTTCGATACTTCCAAACGCCACTATCGTGAAAAAGTGAGTTTCCAAATTCACTTGTGTTGCCTGAATCTTTGGGGAAAATCGACAATCACGACCTGGACGCCCTATAATTTTTACATGATACGAATTGTCATTTTTTTGTTTTAATCCAACTTATTTCATTTGTTAAATGTTTCACAAATGTGTATCCACTGAGGCAATAAATTAGTGGCATTACAAATGCGATGTCGATACTGAACGTACGCGTCTGTGAAGTTAAGGATCACTACAGGACAAGAAACACCTAAGCTTTCTTCTTTCGTCTTACCAGTGAGGAGGCCCTTTCTGGGCATCTTACTCTTGCTTGGGTTAAGCTATTTATGAGTGATAGTAGGTCTATTCGAAGAATCAGATCTTCGAGAAGGGATGGGTATTAAGTTTACAAATTGACTAACCAAGCATTTAATTGCGTTTTTTGGTTAATTCTCTCTTGAATAATGCTAAAAATTAAAGTGGAAACCTCCATTCAATTTTTGGAATTACAGTATGCTTTTGTAATTGACCAGAATTGTCCACAATTTCTGTGCGTAAGAAACCCATTTATTTGGAAAAATCGACCGTTTAAGTGGAACGACCTGTTATTTCACACCGAAGCCACAGGGTGAAGTCGAATAGAATAGGCTACTTGAGACCCCTTAAGGACGTGGGTCTCATAGAATAAAATGAGCAAACTAGGTAAGGCTCGGTTTAAAAATGAATGTGAAGGATCATGAATGAAGCCACGAGGTACAAAACTGTTTTAATATGAGAAAGTCCTAGTTACTTTAAACTGACTACAATCACGATTGGAATTTGTAAAAAATTGAGGTCCTCGGTCCTTATGGCCCGCTTAAAAGTACTTACACAATTAAAATAAGCTGCTGTAGACTTGATTTTATCAATGTGACTTTTCCGGGTGATTTGCTGATTGGACGCGTTTTCGACATTTGAGCGAAAATTTTTGATAGGAAACCTACCCATCTAAATTGAATGACAGAGCATTTCTCCAAATGTGAAATTTTTGGTAAAAATCGTTAATATTTGAGCCATAGCACTGATTTAGACCATCACTGCTCAGTACTGCACGAATTCATTCCCAGACGCAAGTTCCAGCTTTTTGATTCTCTGACAATGTGCTAAGGTTGAAGACATAACATATCGTTTAGAAGCAACATCCACGAAGTACGAATTCCACCTATTTTAGGTTGGGAAACACTCAAATTCTCTTCGGCATCGGCGCCAAATAGATGCGTCGTAACGAATGAGATTTCACGTTTGATATGGGCAGGACCAACTTCTAATTGGCTTTGTGGGGGGTCAGTAAATTTCAAACTTGTTTTTGTTTTATGTAACAAACCTAATCATCTAATAGGAATCCTTTACGCAAGTTGAAAGGCTTTTAGAAGGATGAACACGAAGTGCCCACCTAGTGTAATGTAAGTCGTCGCATAATACTTGAAGGGAATTCACTGCATCACTCACTGGCATTGGAGGTGGAGTCTTAAGGCCCTATACTATAGTCGACGTCTCTAATGGCTCAAAATGCAAATTTCTTTTGTGCACCCAACGGATTTCCTTCGTGGTTGGGTGTTTAGCATTACAAGTTACTCATTTTGGACGAGTTTTGCCTTGATTCGACTTTTACTACTCTCTGTATATCTAAGCAGTGTTATCAATCTTTATGCGAATCTTTCGCTAAAGTTCTAATAAAAATATGGGATTAATACTAAGGTCTGGAAGTACCGAAGTTGTTGGCACACACACACACACACACACACTATCCACAGAATTCCATCTCAGTCCCATTCAAAAAAGTGGTGGAAGGCACACCCTAATACTTTCCACGCGATTCGTGTAAAAATGATTGAAAACTGAAGAAACACCTTCTATCAAAAGACAGTTTTATCACACAGCGACTAAACACTGCCTTGAAAAGTTGAATGATAAATGACCTGTTAGAATTTGATTGAATTATATCAATAATACGTCCAGACGCTGCACACCGACAAATGAGAATTGTGGTGGTGAAGTTTTTAAGAAACAAACCACACAACAAGTACCAGTCAGTACCAACTAGTTCGTCCACTCCGAGTATGTGGATGTAATACCATCCTATCATTAAGTACACCTATAAAATATGGTCAAATTTTATTTAAATGTTTGTAGAAAGTGTGGGGGAAAATACTAGCTAGTTGGTAAAAAATAAATGCAATATTTGCGTGCAAAAATAGCACTTTGAAGGCTTTGATGATGTGCGAAAAAGACAATCATTCACACGCCACTACTTTTGCGTGCCACTGTGACATTACACGCCCATCAGTCAAACTGAACACGCACAATTCAACTCTCGATGGTATCTAAAGCCTGATCGGCTTGAATGATGTCATTTAAAATATATATTTGATTGACTTTAATGGCTTAGTTCAAGCAAGTTGAGGAATACATGGCATATCGCAAGTTGCCCCGAGCCCTCAGACAGCGCATCGCCGACTACTACGAGCACAGGTACCAGGGCAAAATGTTCGATGAGGCGCAGATTCTACAGGAACTCTCCGAGTGTCTAAGAGAAGTAAGTCATGGATGTACTTTCCCCAGTAATTTGCACTTTTGTGCACCTAATTTACGATTGGTGTTTGCCGGATAACTTAAATTAATCACTTTCATTTCCATCAAAGAGTTCCTTTTGTTCATTTTACAAAGTGGTTTTCTTCTGAGCTATAAAGTGGGGGAATAACCTTCAATTTAGACATACTTTAGTTCCAAAATATATAATAAAGCCCCGTAATGGCAAAGATTGGCCCATAACTGCACAGTAGAACGGTTTGTCAAACGTATGATGGACCTCATCAAAAGGTATGGGCGTTTGCAGGGTCGCTGTTGATGGAAATGGCCTTTTTATGGTTCATAATTGTTTCATGGGTTCGGACAATGTGATTTGTGGGCTCAAGGACTGTATGATAACATACTTTGGGAAATGAAGCTTGATTTTGCTCCATTATTTTTTTGTGGTTAGACAGGGTAGTCTTTCACTCACTGCCAAATATGAAAAAAGTGAACAAGTCAGTGGTGGAATGGGTAATGAAGAGATGACAGGTTTCTTGCCTCAGTAAATAGTTTAGCGTTGATAAATTGAAAAGAAAACAGAGCAGTGTTTGCAATATTAAGTGAGCTAGAGCCACCAATGAAAGTAAATGAAACATTTCGATGGAGGAAACTAGAAAGTAGGATAACTTGAAGCTGGCACATTCTTTTTCATAGGAGAAAGCGTTTCAGTAATAATGGAACCCAATGTACCCTAGGTTGTTCACATTGCAATGTGAAAGAGCTGTTTTCTTTTCAATGGCAACTAACTTATTTCGATTAACTTAAACAGAAGCGTTAAGACCACAACAAATGCTTATGATCCATTTAACATTTATTAAGTTCTCGCTTCAGGTAATCACAAAATTTTAAACTTATGCGAGCCTATCGGCGATCCCAAAGTTATTTTTTTGTCCAAAGCGCAAGGCACAGAAGAAGGGTAGTTATTCGTCCTTCAGTTTCCTTCTCACCTCTCACGACCTTGCAATCACCTATGCACCAAAAATAACCAAGGTTAAAGTGGCGTTTGTTTGTGATCCTGTATTGCAGTCAAATGTGCGACTTGAATTGTTTGGGCTGCTACGCTTCTGGCTGTTAAGGAAGTGCACGGCAAGTTGTACCTTCTTGTCCTACCTGAGCTGCATAGAATAGGATTATCATGATGTACACTAACCCGCTACTTGAATGTATTGGAATTAACTACTCTACAGAAATGGGGAATAATCACTTCTTCCAATTGCACAAATAGGGTCCTAGTCCGGATCCATTGTAAAATTTAAATACTCGGGAGCAAGGTATATGCATGCATGTATTTTACACAGATTCATGTTTTTTCTCTTTTCCATGTTTATTAAATTTGAACGACTGATAGGTGAGATAAAATCAGTAAAGGTAAGGTTAGGCTTCTTTATGTAAATTTGTGAAGGTAAGGCAAGCTAATGGAAGAAGCTGACCAAGAATTGTTCCAGTTTAAATGAGTCGGAGTGGAGGGATCTTCTAAATGAAGTTTATATTCTAAAATGTGATTCCCAGAAAAAAAATGGTGCATCACCACTGCAGAATAAGGAGAAGGTAAGTAACAGCTAGTATCTTCAGTCCGCTTCCTGAATTCCGCAGTGGCAGCAGACTTTCATGCTCCCACCCACCGGAACGAAGTAGTACCGATGTTCAACTAAATACACATTTGTGGTCACATACTTGCTTTCTTTATACACCTGGTCGAACCAAGCCATTTTAGCGTGCGAGTTGCCCACTTGGTAAACCTCATTAGCACAAACTTATGAGGAATTTAGGAGTCCACATTTAACTGCGTTCTGTTAATTAAGCTGCGTAGTTGAATTGCACAGCTTAATTATCTTAGTCATTACCTTGGACGTATCGTTTAACTAAACGCTCTTTGAAGTTGATTAATGTTTCATAACAACGAGAAAAAAACAAACTAGATGAATTTTTTTCTTTTTGCTTGAAGTTTAAATTAAACCCAAACTCTCCCACTGCTGAATGTGCTTTTGATTTGTGCTTGTACTAAATGGCTCATCTACTTGGAATAAACGCAAGTGTGGATAAGGGCCTGTTTACTGGACCACACCTTAAAAATTAGATAATCAAAAGCTGGCTCTCAATGCTTTGGGAGAAAATCCAGTAATGATTTGTGCTTTCATAGCAAATCATCAATTACAACTGCCGAGAACTCGTGGCGGCTGTGCCCTTTTTCACCTATGCTGACCAGGACTTTGTGTCCGAGATGGTGGCGAATCTAAAGTTTGAAGTCTTTCAACCCGGTGACTTGATTATCAAAGAGGGCACAATTGGTACGAAGATGTACTTCATACAAGAAGGCATTGTCGATATCATCACCAAAGATGGAGAGATCGCAACAACCCTCTCCGATGGCTCCTATTTCGGCGGTATGGCCAAGTTTTTTATTTCAAGTCAAGTTCAATTCATATTTTATTCAATAAAACGTTCCTGAGAGGGAAGGTTTAATTAAAACCTCTTTACATTTACGGTTTAAATATACAGTTACTAAAGATATTAAGCTTGGGTTTTCTCTCTTTAGACATTCACATTTTTGCAATCATTGTGAAACAAATGTTAGTACTCCGAAGTAATTATTCATAGGAGGATTGAAGCTACCACATTTTAACTGAGCAGTTGCTGCTGAGTTTATATGGCTTATGTGGGTTTCCACTCACTCAGCATAAACTATGCCATAAGATCCCACTCCGTGGTTGATCTCTGCACGAAATGCTCACACCTAACCTGTGTGTTAGGTGCAAGAGTTGTTGCTTCGCTTGCAGACCTCTGCTACAAAGTTGACACGGTTTTGTTTTTCAATTTGGAAAATAAATTGCATTGGATTGAAAGAGTATTAATGAAATTTTTGTAATCCACGTAACCTTAATTACCGCATTGTTATTTTCTGAAACAGCTGCCTGTCTTGAACATATTGAGGGAGAACATTGACATCTTAAAATTAGTAAAGGTAATCAAAAGGAAAAAATTCTTCTTTAACAGTGATATTGTTTTCTTATGCATATTTGGCAATTGATTCAAAGTAGGCGTCTCCAAAGTTCAAGTGACGTGATAAATGCACAAAAATTTCCAAATGTGGACAAAAAAACTGGTTTTTGTTATTAAGCTGATGTTGACCTTCAAAATACATAAGTGGAATAAAACGCAGCAGATGTCAATGCAGCGCGCTAATAGTTACTCTTATGTTACCCCCTAAAGATGGTGCAAATTATGGTGATTCTTAAGAGAAATTGATAAAAATTTGTCGCAGCAGAGTATTTCATCCATATATTCATATAAAGTTTGCCACACAGTGTTGAAATAACGCATGTGTAATGTAAAGTATGGCGTTGTTTTGTTTGTTCATTAAAAGTACTGCGACTTCGTTGTTTTAGAAATCTGCCTTTTGACCAACGCGAAACGCGTGGCTAGTGTACGCGCCGAGGTTTACTCGAATCTCTATTCCCTGGATCGGGACAGTTTTCTGGCTGTTCTTGACAACTACCCTCTCATGCGCCGCACAATGGAGTCTGTGGCGGCCGAGCGCCTGAGCAAGATAGGTCAAAACCCCTCCATCGTAAGCGCGCGTGCAGATTTAAAGGCCGATCTCAGCCTAGTTAAGGAAATCGTCAGTTCCGTTGTCGAGTCTGACGATGGCTCGGATAGCAGTAGCGACGACAGCGAAGGCGGAAGAAAAGACAAGGAGGAGAGAGGGGTGGGTAGAATTCGCAGGGTAATTCAAATGGCGAAATCGCGTAAGAAACCTTTGGTTTCTGAGGAACCAACAGAGACGTCTGAAGTGATTCAAAGAGAAGATTCTGTCAATGAATCCAAGTATCTCACTGTTCCGAAGGCAGATCCATTGCGGAAACGGTCTCACAATCGTGTATTTGGAATTAGTTCAGGTGTATCAAAGCTGTTCAAACGTGGTGGTGTATTTGGCGAACATACTGACAATGAAAGTGAAGCTTACTTATCCTGGGATAGAGCTCGGCAACAGAGGTTTACACGGCTTCGTTCGTCAATCCGGCCTACGATAAAGTGTACTCCTCTCCACCCAGATGATAAAAAGCACTCACTAAATATTGCTTCACCGGACGCCAACGAAACCTTACGCTTGGTCGGGACCAAAGAAATAGCCCCCGAATCCCTCATTACTGATCCGGATCCCACCCACTTTGAAGCACCCTCACTTTCTCCTCTTCCTTCCCCTCCTCCTTCTCCTCCATTATCATCTCTGTCGATGCCACCATCGCCCCCAGAACTACTTGCAAAAGATCTGTCCCATTCTCCAACGAAATGAGTAAACAGGGTGAGACACTTGCTTGCATTTAAACAGACCGCATAACTCTCTCGGCGTAGGTGTGATATGATCAACATACATTACAAACATCACTTCCCCACACATTTCAGTCCTTGCGAAGACAAAACTACCCGCACACCCAATTATGCCCATATCTAATGCACTCTTCGCATTTGTGTACAACAAGAGTTTGTTGATGTGCGTGTCGAGATCCAAGCTGTCAGATGCACCAATAAAATTTATACATGCTCTATAAATCCGTCCAAGGTTGAAATGTCCAAAATCCCATGCTTCCAGACACCTATTTCTTGAGCAAAAAAATTGGCGAGAACTTAAGGGGATACTTGACTAGTTGACCGGTAAAGTATGCGCAGACTCGTAGTTGGAGGCAGGCTGTTGAGGGCTCAATTAGCGCATACGCAAAATCCGAGCCCCGAGCAAGGTATGTTGAACAGTGGCACAGCGCATCCCTTTCAAAATGTCTCTTATGTGCCAACGATTTGAGTAAATACTTGAAGAAGTCTCGATTTTTTACAAGAGCATGAGTTTGAAAGTAGCCTTTCTATTTATCATAAAATGAGTTTAAAAGGGGAAAGTACTTTTGAAGGACAATTCTCAGTACACAAAATTGAACTTTGAATAGTTTCAACGGAATGCACGTAGGCTTCTCGCCTTGAATTAACTTAAATTAAGGGAATGTTAGTGAATGTCAGAGCGGTTGTTTATTTTGATGCAAAAGTAGGGAGTGTCAAATATGAGATACGGCAATTGTTATTCCCTTTCTCAAACAACATCACTTTGTTTATGGAGGCAAATGTAGCCATTTTAGGTTAGCAACCATCTTTCGTTTTTCGGTGGTTTGCTTTTTTCGCTCCGGTTTGTCTTTATTGTTTGGGACTAGTTCCACAATGTAACTAAACCTGCTTTATACAATCTGTCCGAAGAAGTAAACAGACAGGCTAAAATATGAAAGGCGCGTGCGAAAATGTGTGAGGTTGACTTAAGCTTTCTTTGGAGTCCCTTTACCTGAAAAATTCATAAGCGCTTTTGCCCAAAAAACTCTATGCATGTTGACTGTTTTTAACCTCTGGGCAACTGTTTGACGGTGGAATGGGTGAACACACTTGGCATTTTAATCATTTACATGCATAAAACAGAAAACCCGTCGCTGATGGTAGAGCCACTTGAGGCCTCCGAGTTATCCCAGTCAATCATGAAGCGACAGCTCCCTTTGTCTCATTCGTTTTCAAGTTGGACATGCTATTTGCCACTTAAAATAAGACCCGCTTCTGAGTGAGCTTGTTGAAGTCAAAACGAATCGGCCGTGACGACAATTGCAGTTCCACAATAAATTTGATGTTTTCCGTGTCTGACTAACACCTTACTGCAGTTTGCGGTCATTTGACACTGGCCATACAACCTCATGACTTGCTTAAGGCGTCAATTCTGGAGATTAAAGTAACGTGACTTTTAATTCGACACGCACTTCCATATTTTGCACAAAAAATTCGCGCTTTAACCAACAGATCCAAATAAAACCAAACGTAGGCCATAGGAAATGACGAGACAAAACCATGTTATAGTAATTTGCCTTAAATGGTAAATTACCAAAATATTAACTTTATATTTCAGAAGGTTTGCTTTTTTCCATATCGGACCACTCATCTAGAAGCGTGTTACTTTTTTATGAAAAGTGATGAAGGATGTTGTGATCTGCCCAAATCTAGAAGGTAAACAAACCTCAGCCACCCACTGCGGAAGAGGGTCAGCACCTCTCTAGGTGGTCAGAATGACGAATGAAGTAATTTTATTTGTCTGCGGATCCAAAATAGAGGTTGGTTATTCCACAAGCAAATACGGATATTCAGAGGTTGAGCTGGTTAGATTGATGGAAGGTGAAAACAAGCTTACCTAGTGCTGTTTCCTTAAGGGCTACGATTTTTCAGGAAGGGGTTAGTCGTTTTCTCTAAGAACAACTCTCAAGGAAATTTGAGTAGTCTAATTAAATGAAATCTATTGTATCTACAATTTCTAATTATTTACTTTAAATGATTTCACTTGTTTTAAAGTACAGCAATAAATTTACTTCTTTGTTAACTTACAATGGGAGGAATTTTAGGACCCATAATGCACATCTATTAAGTTGTATTAATAAAGTTGGCTTTAATGTGGTAAGAAAACAGTCATTCCATAGAGCCAAATTTAAATCAACTGGCGATTTCAATCAAATGCCAAGCGTTCCTATGAAAGCCTCCACAAATGGATTATACAATTAACTGCAGCAGTATCTTGTTCACAGTGCTAAAATCTTTTATATCTCCCAAAAGTGAACTCATGCAAGATAAAATCAGACGCTTTGTGAGAAAAAACAAGTTTCCTTCCTTTACCTCAGGAGGGAGCTTTATTTGAGACCGTCCAACACTGTAGGGCATCTGCTGTCGACCGTATATATACATATCAGCGCATTAGTTATTCAGAGGAGGCTTGAATCACCATGAATGTATCTTCCCCCCTCCTTACTAAACTCTCTTACAGTTTGAAATAACTGCATTTCAGTGAAACCCTACCCTTTCACTAAGTATACATACTTAAACACACAAAACAAATTATATGTGGATAAGTTGGGTATGCCTTTTGTATTATTGTTAATGCCCAACTGACTCCAAAGTCTGTGACTCCTTACTTTCCCATCAGTTACTGCATTAACTTTAGCAGTCAAACATTAGCAGTCAAACATGTGGGCCATATGCGTTCACTCAGTCATGCACCCAAGCAGGTAGTCCCTCCCCAAAGACGGTGGCCGTTGGCTACTGCCTAAAGGCGGATAATTCCAACCGATAACAAACTAAAAACCACCTAAATTGAATTTGTATATAAATTACGGGATTGCATTGTATTTTTCTAAATCGTCTCCTGTCAGTTAGAACTAGTAAATCGTTGGTGGATTTCACTTTCCGATTTTTGAAAGAGCAATTTTGAGGAGGACGCTCCAAGTCTGCAGGTAAAGTGCCGCATTTGTAGGCGTTAAAAGCATTTACACTTTTGCGTGTACATCCGAAAATGTGTCTGTTTAATCCTCTTTTAATAGTAAAATGTACCAACGTTTGTGGTGCTCCATTAAGATTGAGCATTTATTCCATGGCGTTAAAACGGATCTCTTAGCATCGAGAGCAACCGAGGACCGAAAGTATAAATAGATAATAAGAAATTTTTAGCACAAAAAACTTGAGTGTTGATTTAACTAGTCGTTTAGATTCGTTCAAAGCAAACCACTGAATGTTTCGTTTGCACTTCTATGCATAATGATAGACCAAATTCGCGAGTAATTGCGAACCATTTGAAATCCATTCCGCAAAGGATGGCCAAAGAACTCAAACGTGAGGAAAACCCCAATTCCAAGATGGTCATGTAAAGTGCAAGTTGTCGAGAAGCAAACTGGTGTTTGCCTAATCGCATACTGAACTGCGTGGTCTCTTCAGTCCCCTCGGGTCGCACATTCGTCTTGACACCAAGGCTAAAAGGCCGGTCCATGACCTATCGGACCTTTTGCACGCTAATAACAACCTATTCGTCCACACTGAAACGTCTTCTTTTAGCCTCAGGAGAAAAACGGAGGCTAAAATTATTATGCTGACTGCGTGGAACTACCAATTATGCAGTTAAAGTAGTTCCATAGCCACCAAGACTTGTTTTCTCATAGGTGCACAGATAAACTGGCTAATTTAAGAGCTTCGGGTAGGCCTTGAGAATCAATTTATGGCATAAAAATAACAGGAATTATTAAACAAATATGAGCATGCATAAGAAATTAAAATTATCGTAGCTAACTCAGAGCAAGTGGCAAGTTTAATGAATATGTTTTTATAGAACTTCCTGCCGTTCGTTTCTGTTAATGTGCCTTATTGGGACCTAAAAATTACGCGAGGAAATAAAATTTTGAACTTGTTTGATCTTTTTGAATTACATATGCGAAAGAGAATGGTTAAACTACCGTTTATTGTAAATAATCAGATACGATTGTGAAAGGATGGATTTTGTTACGTACAACTTGTTAGCAATGCTCAGTAGTTTCTTAAAAAATCGTTCTGTTTTTATATAAGTCGGTTCATATTACGAGTCGGACGACTGCCTCAAAAGAACGAAAAATTATGCTACCTTCGCCTTGATATCATTTGCGGTGTTTCTTCAGCCAAAACCTTTTCAGTACTAAAAATTTATTGTGCGGTGGAGAAGTGGAAGTGATGCGTGTCACATGCGCAACTTTTTGGCTTCACATGCTTTACTTTTCCATGGTAATTAAAAGTGCACGAATAAAAGTGAATTTACAGTATTTGCATGAAGGGAGATTACAACAAAGCACCTCAATGACCTCGGATGACAATGATTAAATAGGGGTTTGATAATTTCATACGATTCAACATCATTTGAAAGCCACTTAAAATAGATGGACTCTTCCATACAAAAGTCGCATTAACTAACCATAAACTAGTCTTTTATGGTCCTTCTAAATTTATCAAGATACTTTTTAAATCACTTACAATAAGCGCACACTTGTTTGTCAAAAAGTAAAAGTGATTTATAGGACAATCAAAATGGCACGGTTTCATTAACTTCGTACCTTAACAAAACACAATGCTATCAATTATTGCAACGGAAAAACCAGTGAATGATGTAATTTTATTATGCTGAGTTACAATCCAACAACTCTTGAAGTTTATCTACCAGCTACTGTTGTTTTCACCCAGATGGGCACAGGAAGGATCGTGCTTAGTAAGCAGTACCTGCCCATGCGACTTGACTCCCCAAGGTGTAAATAAACATGATCACCAATTTTCATCAAATGCCTGTTAATATGGCTGAGGAAGATGACCCAACCAGTGGGCAGAGGGCATGTGAGCACTTGTTAATTTAAATCAACTGCTTTCTAGCGAAACGCCTTCCATCTACTTTTCCATTTACTTAGCCGTGCAATTCTTCCGTGCATATTTTTCCCGACGAAGTTTATCACTGTAATCGTAATGCAAGAAAAAATAAGTTGTCTTCGGCTAAATCGCAAAGAGGGATCTGTTCTGAATAAAAAACTTTACCTACCAAAGTCCAAGACCACGGTCTGAATCGAACCTACTTTATTTTTAGAAGGTGCTGTCAAAACTTCCAAACTGCACACCATGACCGCTTGACCTTTTCAATTGGAAGCCTTAGGTAGAGGATCTGATTAAATTGAAAATGTATAAAACTGTAAAGCTTTTGTTGTTTCAATTTCTTTTAAAATATTTAACTGTAAAACAAAGAATGTAGATCTATACCGCAAGTGCCCGAAAGTCACCAACTGAATATTCAAAACCGGCATTTGAAACACCAGAGAATGAGGTCATGGGAAAAAATAATGCTCTTGCACATTCTAATCCTTCAAGCAGACAAGCAATCCCAAATATTTAAGGCTAAAATTGGGAAGTATAAGAGCAGTTATACTTGATGGCAAGGTGAGCAGCACATACTGGATGCATAGATTCGATTCACGAGTCCACTTCGTGCTATACAAACAGAAATGGGGGATTAGGAGAAGACAGCAGCGACTTGGTGGCTGAAAATGATATAATTGTGGGTGCGTTTGTTCGTGTGTGCGTCTCAGAGGGTATGGGAAGCAGTGCCACATTTCTAAATGCACGGAATCCTGGCGTTCTGCGATGCAAATGACTAAAGCTGGGGAAGATAGTTTGCGACACTTTGAATGGATGGGATTTGGCGAAATAAATGGGGAAACATAAGACGAATTCTGCAAACGGAGTGTTGCGATTGGTGAAGTGCGTTCCTTTGCCACTAAAATAAAGGAAAGTAGTTAGGTTCGAAATAGAAACTTGGAGTTCATTGGGCAAAAACGTTAGAAAGTCCACGGATTGATGCCAGTCATAAGTAAAATATTTTAACACAATTATCATCCTTTGTGCTGTACAGGCGTGTCAAGCTGCATTCAAGTTTTTGTTGACATTTCTGGTGATCTTTGTTTGTTTTGCTCTACCTACAATGATAAACTCTAAAGGGTTATTAGCATACATTCCCAAATTTTTTATACCCAGTGGTCTATGCAAAACAATGAAAAGCTGAACTTCGTGCTGAATTCTCCTCAGTTGTCTATTAAACAGGCCTCCAACGACAACTATACGCTAAGAATGATACTTTATCTAGCAATTTTAGTGAGCAGCGTATTTGATACAAAGGGTAACTAGCATGTAGCCCGTGAAAATAGTCAAAACTTGTTTATCACTCTCTTCAGCTCTCCTCAGGTATTTGGACTTCCCATCCATATCCTGTTTTCACACATCCTAAGTTGGTGCAGGTGAAAAAATTAGTATTGTTTTGGCATAAAAATTGCACCACCTATACCAGCTGGAAATTGAGCAAATTATAAGATGAATCTTTTCGAAGGAATATCGCACTCTTGGTGGGCGATTTTAAAGTACTAAATAATAGATTGACTCAACATGGGTAAGGCTACGCAAGGGTCTAACCTATATCCTACTTATGGTGGCCTATGATACAGGCACGCTAGATCTCTTGTCACTATTGTCTGTACCCAGCAACTGCTAAAATATTCACACGTCTTGACAGGGGGACAACTGTGCCCAGTATGAATATGCAAAAATGGTGGCTAAGAAATACAAAAGGCAAATAGTCCATGAAAGGCAATCCAAACGTGGCTACCGACGACAAAACTGAAATTTACGAACTAACAGTTGTTATATTTCGGGGTTTGAAATATTTACCAATGGACCATAAATGAAAGTTCTTAAACTGGTTATTTAACGGTTAATCAAATAAGTACAAGTTGTTGCAGTATCTCTTCACAGAAAAGACAGAAAATTTAAGTAGATTAAAGCATTATACTCTTCAGATAATGTCTCGTACTCACTTATTAGCTGATCGCTATTGCTGCAAATTTGTCATCTACTTCATCATGTGCCTGAAAACACAGCTCTACTTTTGTATTATAAGTATAACGCCTGCTATGAAGAATCCAGTGCTAGTTATCCTGTAGTGGGAAAAATCTAGCACTAAGTGGGCATAGCTAATTGCACTTCGTTGGAGAAAATTCGGCTACTAGTTTGATTGGGAGGGAGACAAATGAATTAATAAAGATAATGTTCCACCTACTACATTAGGAAGTGTGGAATCTGCACTGACCTCGGTGGAATTCCGTTAGCCTTTGGAACTTACATCATTAAATTTTCCGATTCTATCCTCGTGTTGGCCAATTATACTTTCCTAAAGAGGGAAAACATGGTACTAGGATGGGAAAATGTGCAGAAATTAATGAATATGAGGTGCAAATACTTTAGAAGATATTCATTCTGGTCAAAGCTTTAGGAAAAAATATAAACAAATCATTTAATTTACATTCTCTATTGAGTCTATGCATAAAAAAGGCATTGCCATTTAGGTTTTGTTGACACCTTTTCAGATTATGCCAAAACAACCTATGGTTTATGGGTAGGAGAAACTCCACTAAACCCATTCACCTGTCGCCCTTTTACAAACGATAAACAGGATAACTGTGTTAGATTGGCTTTCTGAAGTACATATGCACGTTCATATGCATTTACCTACCAAAAACTCTCAAATCATTAATTTCGTAATTGAAACTCACGGTTGGTTCTTCCGTAATCCGCTACGCATTGCTGATTCCCATTTACTGCTCGATAACCTTTGTAGCATCTGCACTCGTAGCTCCCACGACCGAGGTTTATGCAGAATCCGCCCATGCATTTTCTCCTGACTGTGCTGTCCGCACAGGGATTTGGGTATTTTACCCTTGAGGATGGTTGCCATCTTGTCTCACCTAGCTGGGGTTTCACTGATGGAGAAAATAAACCAAATAAGAATCACAATTTTGGCAAATGCTGCGTGAGATAAGAAAAGTAAATAATAAACCAGTTTAGAGGCAATTTGTTGAGCAATTAAGCAATATCTATCACTGTGTATTGCTTTGCAATTCACGCAAAGGGCAAATTCATTACACACACATGATAAAAAGTACGCTTTTACGTAACTTTTGACACTTCATTTTTTAGATTATACTCTTGATTTGACTTCTTTTAGGTAGAGACTAAGTAGAGGTATAAGGGAGTACAAAAAGCACGTTTCACAAATGAGTAGTAAGATTAATTGTGACTTTAAGGAGTGTTATTTAGAAGTTCTGTGCTCACCATGCCTTTGCCAACAGGTGGTCGTCTCTTCCACCAAATATAAATGCTATTTCCAAGACTACTAGATGTTCATAAAATGGGTGAAACTGATAGTTCACAAATGTGGTCCGGTGAAGTAATTCACGGCTGTATATATTTACAGTAGATCAACGTCAAAGTCGAGCATTGCAAGGCTAGTGAAACCGCCCATATTGAAGACATTTCATAAATTATGGCAGATGGGCTAGGAAATCCTTGCTTTGCTTTGCCACTGTTACATTAGAACTTAAAAGGAAGCAGCAATGGATGTGGCTTGCATGATAAATTTTGCTTTGTAAGCCAAACCAACCGTTGTGATAAGCCCTGTTTTCCTGCGGCCAGTCAGCTTGATAAGAACCGCGGTAGATGTTTCCGCTACTCAAAGGCTCGCGTTTTGATGCTGAGTGGATAAATCCAAAAGACCATTACTAATGCATGTTAAAGGAAAAAATAAATTAAACAAGCATCCTTTGAATTGAAATAGCCATTTATGTCTTGTATTTTAGACTACAAAAATAATAAATCGCTGTGCATTTCTCTTTAGCTACAAAGAGCATTTTCTTGGTCCGAGTTAGTCTATGAGACATTTCCGCTTAATGGATTGTGGCAGAAGGTCTCGATGAATCACGTCGCTGTTATCGGCACATGCAGAATGCACAAGAAATAGTTTAAATAACAGACCGCATTGTTACTCAAGTCTAGCTATCATGCTCAGATGAAACTGTGATGTCTTCTACTAGCCATTTTAAAGCTATTAAAATAGCGGAAAGAAAAATCGTGGTAAGTTAAATGCCTAAAACTAATACATCAGTCATTAAACTAGGTTTCATGGAGTTTGGCTGGAAGAAGAACTTCTGTCATTTATGCATTCCACTATGGACCATGGTACATTAATATGAGAACCGTTTCAGCTATAAAATAGGCCGTTTACTCGACCACAATAAATGAGGCACCAAAAGCCTCTTCAAACGATTAAACTGCAGCGACAAACCCTTAAAAGTGATGCAGAAAAGCATCATTTATGGAAGAGCCGATTAACAAATATTTTGGTCTTTATGAAAATGAGTGAATACATCTACACAAGCACTCACATCAGAACAAAGCATAGAGGCAAAGACATGGGAATCGACGGCATGCCATTTCATTTTAGTGTTTGGTTCTGATGTTTCCTAACCTGCAAATCCGTCATAATGCCACAACAAAGGCATGACAGGCCATTTCACAAACCATTTTGGTAAATTTCAAGAGACATTTCCGAAAAAAGTAATAGTGGTAAATTCTTCAATGGTAAAACATTTACTTGCACACAAAAGAATTGTATGTAGGATGAAATAAGCACTGCATTTTTTATGACCACTTTGTCTCATTCCATTACATTACATGATAATCCCCTCCAACTCCTAATGACAAACCACGGGAAGGCCTGTAATTTATCCATAAATGGGAAAAAAAATGTTTGCGGTCAATGAGGTGGGTAAGGATATTATTAAATACAAAATAGGAGCTTTTACAAATCTATTCGGTAATGGCATTTCTTATGCCCTTTTTAGCTAGGCAAAAGGAAATCGTCATATGATTTGCCCTCTCTTTCTTGTTGAAATTCTATACATAAGTGTATCTTTTGCTTACTTTGAAAAGGGTTCAACTGCATCAGACAGCTTTTTCTGTCTGGGGAAGGCTGGTAACCGTAGTGGCAACGGCATTCATAATCACCGTAGGGTCTTGGAACACAGAATCCATTCTGACAAACAGATGGGCCCAGCTGTTGGCACTTATCTAAATAGAGCATGCCTTCTTATTACAGTTAGCATAAAAAAGTGGTCCGCAGTTCTCGTAATACTATTTTTAAAAGTTACTTGAGTAGTTGATTTAAAAGTACTTTTGTAGTCCAAACGCCATACACAGGCGCCAAGAACCGCTAATGTGTGTGCACGGACAGGCTACATTTCCGACTGGAAAAATGGAGGAGACTAGACCTCCAAGGAACAGAGGCCCTAACGTCTCCATCTGGAGGTCACTCGAAGTGCACTTTGCACATGTGACCCTAGACCCTTGAAAGGCTAAGGCACACAAGGGTGTCCCAACTCTATCGGGGTTGTCTTTAATATGACCTTAAGGTAAGGAGGTGTTAAAGTGGACGGGGTGGATCCCCAATCAGCGGTGACTCAACGAGAGCACGAGCTGCGAATATTCCTCCAATGTTTCTAAGTGGATTAAGGAGGAGAAATTGTATAGAAACTTCTAGAAAACCTAAATTGTGGCAGTCCTAGCATCAAGGCTAAAACGCAAGTTAATAATGACACCAGGTCATTGTGAAATATTTAAGGTGAGCTGTCTTTGCAGTAAGTAAATGACCCCCTCTTTGACATGGAACTACTGTGTTCATATCAAAGCCATAAAGGTGTTGTTGGAGGCAGAGAAATATGCTGAAGCCTACCAAGGCATGCAGTTCCGTCACCGGAGAGAACGTAGCCGGGATTGCAAATACAGCGAAAACTTCGGTCGACCGGTAGGCACTGGCCGTTGGTACAAACGCTGTTTCCATAAAACGTACAGGCGTTGAATTCCTCTGTTTAAAAGAACATTCTCCTCTCAAAAGATATACTTTAGTCTGATGCATTAATGTTAACCTTAGACATTTATTCATAATTCCTAAAATTACAAGAATTTAAATCAAACGGAAGAAGAGAAAACAGTACGTGGGTTTCAGAGGACCATAGACCTTTACCTCTATTTCCTCATTTCATATGCTTTTGTCATGAAGATTAATGCATTTCTTACTGATACACTGCTTCTTGAATCGGCTCGGCACATATCCTGGATTGCAAGTGCACTCATAGGAGGAGGCCGTTGGATGGCACTCTCCGTTTTTGCAGAGTCGGCCCTCAAAAATTTCGCAGTAATTCAATGCCACCTCTTCTTTTCGACCTATTATTAACATAAATTTAGTTTAGTCTATCTTTTCGTGAGACACATTTACTTCTCGACATAAACCCTCAGATATTAGTGGTAATTAAGTGATTTGTGTGATTTACATATGAACTGAACTGTGGGAATTAAACCTTTGCATCACTTAGCCGAGGCTATTTTACTATCAACCCAGGTACCTTCTCTTCATTCTATTCCAACGCATGTAATATGAGCTCACAGCGTGTATTTCCGTCGGTAGCAACGTAGCCGGAATCGCATTGGCAGATGTAAGCAGTGCCATGCAGAGGTATGCAGCGTCCGCCAGGAGTACACGCCTTCGGATTCTTCTGGCACCCGTCTGAAATTTTGATGCGCATTGACTTATCACCCGAAGGCTACAGACTTGCCACCAGCTAGGCATGTTAACAGCGCATGCCATCTAACAGTCAAGTCAAGCAAATTAGCGACAAATAATTGACTTACTTGTCACTGCGGGATACGAAATAATGGCAATTTTGCAATTGAAATTTACAGATCTACTAACCTTTTCGTTAAGAGGGTGCTACACATTGAGTAACCAAATCTAGATTCTTTATTGGAATTCTGGGGTGCTGTTTCGCTTAGAAGGAGGAGATTTGAATCCTTTTATCTTTTCTTTTATGATTGAGGAATCAAAACTTCGCAAACGAAATTTTATTCGCTCTTTGCACCTTTAGACGATGACCAAACTATTTACTTTTGAAATTCAGATCACTTATGGATAAAGTCAAACTCATTACCTTGTTTAAATGATTTACTGGTTTTACTAATTCACATGAGGCAAAGTGTCATACTTTAAAAATAAGGTTGAATAAATTCCCAAATTTAACTAATATTCAACTTAACTTATGAATTTACCCATTATAAATAAAATTTGGGTGATTCATTGAAATCTGGAGAAGGAAAAAGACTTCCCACACACATAGGGATCTTTGATGCCCTTACTATTCTTGAATCAGATTCTGAAAAAGTGGTCACTAGACGCTTCTGCAGCAGCTGCCTGTGACCCCAGAAAAACGTTTCTGTTCAATCTTTGAACATTCTGGGGGATTGTGCTCTCACTCACGCCCCCCTTATTGGAGCATAACCACTCGAAGGCCAAGGTCAGTCAGTCGGACACTATAAATGAGCATATCTGAAATCACTGAGATACACAAACACACTCCGGCAGTCTACTTCATAGCCGCTACCCTGGCCGTAGCCCATTGCATGGCAAATATGTCGGTTATTAAAGCCCTCTGCCCTGAAGGCTTTATCTTATCACACATCTGGTTAATTGGTGGCCTCGTTAGGGTTTGGGCGTCGCACGCACACAGCACTTAGTTATGGCAATTGGCGACCCAGTTTATAACAGTTGCTGACACGTTTTATAGCCAGCGGCGACCCAGTTTATAGCAGACTTTACAACATTAAAACCTCTTTAAACATTTACGCAACTCTTTTGAGAGAAGGATGCTCCACTGAGAGCTAAGTGGTCACTTTCTTTACAGACAAAAAGGAAACTTACCTAAAATGGGTCGACATTGTACCGTGTTCTTATCGTAGACATATCCATAAGGACAATCGCACCTACAAAGAAAATATTTTAGAACCCGCCTTTCAACGAGACTGGTAGATGATGCTACTTCATCTAACAGTCAAGAGGATTGATCACAGGCTAGAGTGTTCGCTTCTTAGTCACTAACACATGTATACGTCTGAGTGTGAGCAGGCGGCCAAAACTTTGAATGAAAGGGTAGGTTTTGGAAATAAATATCAAAAAATAGATGTTTTTGCAGTTGTCTCGAGCTCTTCACCGGTGATATTAATGTTTATTCGCTCCATTTACAACAATGGAGGATGATTAGCCGTTACTCGCAAGTTTTCATTTGTCGTAATCACCTTTTGTTGTGGACTACGGGAATCAGGACTAAAACGAATTTTCATACGGAACAGGAACGTACTCAAATGAACCGTCGGTGTTGCGACAAATGCCGCCCATACACACGTTTGGAATTTCGCATTCATTTGTATCTGAAAATCAAGCACGCATTATGCGAGTTTTGTGCCACTTTCTACACGAAAATGTTCCCATTTCAATTGGTGTTTACCATCGACAAGCGGTTGAACAAAAGCAAAACTTAAAATATGCCCAAAATCCTGGTTTCCATCACCCGCTTGGCCATGCACAATTTCCAATTATATGGCAGTGTAGTTACGGTAAGCGAAGCCCCAGGGCGGATTTTTTTCCCAAAAGCGGTCGCTGTTGACTAGAATTAATGATACAATACAAAAACAAAACCCACATCTTCTGTCTAGCCAAGTAACAAACGATGCAGTGGATTTAAAGGTAACTGAGTCAGCTTATTTAACCTTTATAAAGTGTTAACTTTTACAGGCATTATTTTTTTTAAAGTTTTACCCTCATGAGACGTATCTTGAGGCCCGACTCACCGACACACTGGTGGTTCAGGCGTATGTAGCCCTTGCCGCAGTAGGAGCTCTGAGCGCTGCAACGTTGGCACAGCCCACCCCACGCCACGCCAATGCTTCCGCAGCAGGCATTCCGTGTCATCATTGCGGTCTCGTTTCCAGGACCTGTCACCTTGTTCTTACAGACGCCTCGCTCTGTCTGAATGAAACAGGGCCCTACCTCCTCCTCTAGAGTTCAATGTAAATTAAGTGCGGGCAGCTGTGAGTGGCATCTTTCCCGATTCTCAAATTCAAAGACTAATTTCCATCAATTTTATTAGCTAGCCTTTTAAAACGACCGCCAAGATGCTAAAGTAAAAAAATCTGCTGTTGTATGTTATTTGTAGGTTATTTGCTCGTTGTAAATGATGAAAACCATATTCACCGGTCCAGTGCTAATGACACCGCCTGATGCTGGATTACATAGATAACAGACCTCTTCTCGAATAATTTGTGTGAAGCTCGACGCACTGCGGTGGTTTTAGCGCGTATACACAAATAACAGTATGTATGAAGAGGGTAATCAACTTCATAAGTGAAAGCTGTTTGCTTCATTTGTTACCTGTCACAAAGTTAGACACAACGCACCTCTTCTAACACGATGCGGTGCATGTGGGACCGATTTCTGCCAAAGCAGTACAGGCGCACAAGCATCACCTCGCCTGCACGTGCATAACAGAGGAGAGGTGTATCGATAGGTAACCAAAAGTCAGATGTCCACTTTAACTTTGTAGTACTCCATCACCACTTCATCTGTTCGCTTCACAAGTGGTGTTTATTTTAATATCATCCCAGCTTTGGGCAATTTTTTGGAGGCACAAAGTTAACATACTTATTAATAGCTATCATGAGGTGAAGGCAAGGAATGCGCATCTGCGTCAACATACACAATGTTTTTTTCTTGATGCCCAAAGTGGGTTAATAAGGTGTGCCAAATACTTCGTACATAGGATTCCCATTGGGGTATTAGCCTTGTTTTTGGCTATAATTTACCTGTCACCAACCTCGAGGCAAATCGGTGACCTTTTACTATCAGCTACTTTGGGAATATTTTTATACCTGTCAGCTATCAATTTAAGTTTCAGCGATATTTAACGAGTGCATTCGAAATTAACCTGATTGCAACACTTACCATCACATGCGCTTCCTTTGAAACCGAAGTCACAAACGCATTTTCCGTTGATGCATCTGCCCTGGTTGTTGCAGTTTGATGGACATCGGACTACAGTGACGCGAGAAGACGCATCAGAACTTAAAACACCATCCCATGAGAGGTATTATTATTGCTACACGGAAATCATAAGCTAATCTTGCCCTTTTAATCACGGTTATGGAATAGAACGGCTTATTTATTTAATAGTGACCCAGATATGCAAGTCAAGGTTCTAAACTTTGACACGCCGTAACTGAGGCTTTGGCAGCAACATCATTTCTTAAAAGATAAAACGCTGTTTGTTTAAAAAATATCGCTGTAAGGTGTTAGAAAAGTGCTTAAGGCCTGCACGATTTTAGCGAAAACCAAAAGTAACTTTAGGTTAGAAAAATGATTCATTCCTTCGTCAAAGGAGGTTGACTAATTATTGAGTGTAAAGGGCCCACAAAACCCGCTCCATTTTTCTTCAACTGCATCACTACAACTCCAAACTGTGCTCATAGAATTTGTCTTAATTGGGTTTGCGGCTAAGACCAGGGTCAAGTATAGTTTGACAAGTAGATCTTCCTGGAAACCAACCCCGCAGTTGTAATGTGATATCTACCGAAAATACTTTGTACTTCCCCAAATATTTCCTTTCAGCAACCAAAACAATTTCTTATTCGAACTTTTTCCTGCTACGGTATTTGTACTGCTGCTATTGCCTCAGGATAATGCGACCACCAGGTTCCAACGACAGAATCAGTGCCACACTATTAGTCACCGTTCATTTGCGGTTGGAATCCGTATTACAGTGGACCTCATCTTGTAGATACACTTCCATTAAACGCGTTATACACTTTTCTACTGTCCGGACTAAATGCAATTGGGTCTATCAAATTCCTTCAGGGTGCCAAGCAAAGGGTACAGCCGTGATATTATTGGCGACCCACTGTCCTACTTGGACAAATGATCGTTCAACTGGATGGAAATGTTGAGGCCTTAGTTGTCGTGCCATTATCCAAACTCCAAAGGAGAATTTTATACAAACTCACTAATATGAAATCTCCGCCTGATCACATTTGTTTTCCCGAATTCATGTAAATGTGTGTGAATTGGTGGGGAGTATCAGCTTAACTTTGGTGATCTAAACAAGCATAAAATGGGTTTATTGCTTTCTACCATATTGTATGTGGAATGCACTTGGGAAAAATTTACTTCGTCTAATTTTGGTTCACTACGAAGTAAACAATAATGCGTTGGGTTCTGTTCCCATTTCCCATTCTTCTGGGTGTCAGAGAAGGTTCTGTTTTTCTGTACCACTTGAAAGTAAAGCGCCGTAAATGCCATTATTACAGCCAATAAAACGGTATTAAGGGGCATGTAAATAATGCCCCAAGTGAGAGACATAAATTATCTGTACTTTGCAAGGCTGCGCGGTTTGAAGCATTCCTTCAAGTAGGTAAAAACAATGCTGTCTGAACGCCAGGCTGATTTGCTGGTGAAAAGGCATTGTTAAGGAACGCTCTACCATCACAAACGCCCTCCGCTTTTACAATCACCAAATAAGCCGCTCTGTTTTCTTTTCTAGCGAAAAAAAAGTTGTTTTAAAGTCAGAGAAAACTTAGAGGAAATGTTTACAAAAGAAAATTCACATAGGCGCGTGTTTAAGGTATACATGAGAATTAAAAAGGTATTTCGCCGCCGCCTCGGGAATCGAAACCCTCCTCATGACTTCATTGCAATAAATGAGATTAGGAGCATGAATGATAGCATTTCAAATAGGGTGCCTCTCTCCCTCTCTCCAAATCACGCCATCCATTGGTATACTCTAAGTAGCGATGGCTTTTAGTCCTAAAATTTTTCGTCTTTCAATTTGTCCGAATAAACTGCAGTGTGTGCAAAAACACTTTAGTTGGTGTGAATCAGACCTATATTTTCATTATCCGACAGGAAGGCAGTGAAATCCTCCACACCTCCATCTATCATTTGGGAATGAAGGAAATGTTAACCTACAGTGGGAGGGCAGCTAAATGTTGTGGGTGTTAGGCAATTAATACAAAGTTCTATCTAATAAATTATTTTTTGAGAAAAAGCTTTTTGAATTATTTAAGATAAGTGCACTTCGTTATTAGGAATTTGAGGCATTTAAAATAAGCCCACTGTAAAACAATGGCCACCAGCGTAAAGGCCTTGACACTGCGGGCGTATCAGGTAAAAAATTTACCAGAAAAGTAGAAAGAGGCAAGGGAGGATTCTGCCATAGTGCTAAAAACTTTATTTACTTCCATCTTTGAGAAAAAATCATGCTTTAGACACTTTTAATTGCATTCCTGTTATATTTTCACAGTAAAACATCCGACATTTACGTAGAGTGGAAACGGTCCCCTAACATGGTACCAAAGGGTAAAAAAGCATTTCTATTGTCGAGTTTGGTAGGAACATAAGATGTTGTGTTACCCAAGTTAAAGCTGTTTACACGCGCTACGTGTAACACATCTTGGCATTTTTAGTCGGTTAAATCAGGAGGTGTTACTTGTATGCATTATTTTCTATTTGTTGATGTAGCTAGTATGTTGACCTACCCGGTTCATCAGCCAGATAGCCGTTGTCGTCCTCCATCAAGCAGTCGTCCTGTACTCGGCCATCCTCGCATCTGCACTGGTTGGGCGCAATACAACTGCCCCGTTCTCCGCAGTTTCCATCACAAATGGCTGGGGGATAAAAAAACCAATTTCAAATTAAAGAATACGAATTCAAATCTGCCTTTTGCTTGATGAAAGAAGTGGCACAAAAGTATCCACCTTCCCTTTTGTAAAAGACAACCTCTTAGTGTACTGTCCATGGACTTGATATGCCTACAAGTTTCTAGGGGATTGTGTGTGCTTATTTAAAAGTAATTTTACTTTGAATAAATGACCGGTTTGTTTTACCTGTGGTGCAGAGACCGTCGAGGCTTTTAGTCCATCCCTTGCAGCAGAGCGTCAATCCATAAAAGGTGCCGCAAACGTTGGGGCCTCTCCTTAAATTATACAAGTAAAGTGATGCAATCACGCCCAAGTGGTTTTAAGTTTAATGCAAAAATAATGCTAAAAACAATTCCTTAAAACGGGAAACAATAAAGCAAAAATCTTTAGCCCGATCACGTCTGTCTGCCATAAAAACTTACCGAACATGGTGATGATAGAATTTTAAAATATACAATTTTGACTGGGATCCTTAAAAAGGAAATGTGCTGTCTGAATGTCAAATTTCCAGTGCAAAATAGGCTGTAGGTTCGCACACTTTAAACCTAAAAGGACTGTAGCAATTAACTCTTGCTTCGAATGGAAAGTAATTGAGGCCGAAACTCTGCTAGGTTCCCATTTCAGACCAAAATTGAAAGAAGATGAAGTACTTAATGGTTTAATTAAACAGAATTGGAGTCTTGGCATTTGAGTACAGATTATTTATTATAGCATCAGTTTGTTGAATTTAAACCTGAAGGAATTTTTGATAATCCGCAACACAAAGCGTACAAGGTGGGCAGTGTTTTCGAAACATGTCTATGATCCAGCGGCAAGATCTCGCTAAAAATTTATTAAATACCATCTCGAAACTCTTCTGAGGGCTCAGAAATTAGAACCGTGTCATTTTCCTAATTACTTGGAAAATCCTTAAGAGGAATATCTTCACAAAGTAAGTGCAGTACTGCTATAATCCATTTTAAAGGCTTAACTTAAGTGAGGTGTCAGTCAATGAGCTCGGAGAGTTTCCCACGCAACTAGTCGGATACCCTCCTGTTGGCCATGGAAATACACATTGCCGCAGTTTACATGGCAATTTTTTTTGGTCTTCACCAATTTCATCTCCTCAATAAATGTTATTTTGCTGAAATCGTAAGTTTCCAATTTTGCCTTTCTCTGCATTATCGAAGGAAGATACCTTCATGCAATTACAATTATGGCTTGAATACTGAAGCATAATTTGTTTGTGGGCAGAAACCCAAACATCAGAGGCATTTCGCCAAGCTGTTTACTTATTGTGGAATGCTTCCCACTAAATCAAGGTAACGCGTGGCATTGCTTTATGCATCCCACAGTGGCGAAGCTCCTTCACCTTATGATGGCTTCAGGGCTAGAGCAGCGAATCTCCTGACACCAAATAGAAATTTTATGAAGTTTGTGTTCCCATATAACCTCAGTGTTAGTAGGGAACACCATGGTCCTCTAGATAAGTTGCCGCAGCAACTGCACAAAATTTTACTTAATATTATCTACGAAAAGTGCTTGAACCTCAATTTTGGTTCATAATACTGGTACATACACGACTAATAGTCCGAATTATCCACCAAACATCTACCCTGTTTTGTCATCAAAGCTTGCATTGGTAAATACAGCGAACCACTAAAACAAACGCTTTTTAGAAAAATCCTCTTCGAAGTCCAGGAGGGTGGATTTATTGATAAATAGGCTATTTATGGGCACTTCCCTATTTCTTTGGCTTTAAATCCTTGCCAATATGTAGTTACAATGACTGTATCAAGCACAAGATTATTTTGGCACTGTAAATCCCACATTTAGTGTGGGTACGAACTGGCAGACGGATATAATTAGATTGATGGCCCGCCAATTAAGGTGACATCCCAACAGGAAGGGCTTCTGCGATCACCGGCTGGTGACGATCACATGAATCGGTAGTGGGTGCTTATAAATCTCCGAATTCCACTTAACTCGGTGCAACTCGGGTCCTCACCCAAACTAAGAAGGCGAGGCAAAAGGCGCAATAAGTGATGCGCCAGACAGACAGCAGCGCGTTCCGAGGAGGCAGTGTGTGAAGGCCGTAGGATTTCGATCATTAAAAATGCCACTTGCAGGCGAAAAAATGGAATTTGCATCTCCAATTGGGATGCCTTGGTGTGATTTCGCCTCGTTTTTAAACAACGCTGTTAGGCAGTCCAGACCGATTAAAGGCCATTTTAGGGAGGAGGCAAAAATACCTATCCAAATTCTCTCTAAAAATGAAAAGGCTCGAGCAAACTATTTACACTTCCACGTATCTACCTACTTGGCCAGGCAATAGCAGCCTATCGCTGGAATTCCGTTTCCGCAGGTTGCACAGAATAAAGCGTTTCCTGATTAATATCGCCCGTCACTAGTGTTGGTAGTACGCTTTTATGATCTATTTACCAATTTTCTCCACACATAAATTGCAAGAATTCCGAGGACAACGAGACTCGTCAGCTCTTACTAAAAACTACTTTTCAAGAGATGATTAACTGCAATTTTTCCTAAAGGAATTCTACCAAATGATGAGTTATTTTTTAGTTAAAACAATTGCTTGCCAAATGCACTTTTTCTGCAAACCTTAAGATTGCCACTCCAACGGATAATTTGTATTTATTTAAATTATGTTTTGTCCAAATTCCAGAAGCTTCCTTTAATAACAAGGCGCCTTCGACGACCCTTGCTAAAGCCCTCTCCTTAAGGAATTCAAAAGAAAGTTGAAAGTGGTATTTGAGTCGGTGTTTTGGCTTTTTACAAGCTTGCATCACGTCTATGACGTCTTTTTGAAGTCTTCTTTTCGCAGGGAATAGAGACCTGATTTGGCGCGTTATTTGTTTCGCCAACGTTAACTCCGGACTTATTTAGTGGTTAACACCACAAAATCCTCTACTTATGGGTTAAAGTGTCAAAGAGGAATTTTGTGTTGAATGTTTTTTTTCAAAGGAAAGGCAGCTGTAATGATATCTTTTACAACAATGGGTTGTAGTGGAGTGCGACAAACTTTGCAATCCTCATTCAAACAACACCCCACCTACTCACCTGCCTGCCCGATATCTCTTTTACTTGATATTGCAAACAACTAAATTTACTAGCAAAAGTATCAAGAACGTATCTTAAAATTTTACCCAGTTATCTATATGGCAAATGGGCGAGAATAAGAAGGCTGGGAGGAGATAATAAGAAGTTACTTAACATTCTCTGCATTACTAGACCACTCTTGAGTCCTTAGATTTAAAAAGCAGGCGCGATTCATTAATTTTACTTCGTCCAAAGCAACCTGCGGTACATTTATCATGAGTAAGCCAACGATGATGCCTAAGGCTTCCAACACACTCGCTGGCACGCTTTCTCGCTCTCTCCGGGACACGCAAGCCCTCTCTTCATGCAGAAATTACGCAAATAACGCAGCTGAAACTAACCTCTTACCTGCTTGCATCTAGGCGGAAGGACTTACACATTTTAACACGTTTTTATGGTCATCTAAGTGTTATATAGATAAACAATAGCAAAAATTTTGGGGAAGTGGAAAGGGAACTACTCGGAAAAATGGAAAACAGATAGCCTTGCCTACTGCTACTCTTAAGTGGTTTACGATACAAAAAATGAAAAAACGCAAAAATGGCCAAATTCACTAATATGTTGCTCATGTAATGAGATTATGCGCTTCACACATGACCTCTTAGTGACCTATGAGATAGCTGAATGAATGCTGTGGCAATTTTAACCGTCAATATTCGAGCATCAGTATTGTCATCCAACTCTCTGTTTGAGAAGGCCTCGCAGGCAATGAGAATGTGGGTGCATGTGCGGCAATGTCTTGGCTGCATATTGACTGCCACCACATTTGCTGAAGGTCTCAAAGCCGAGCCCTCTACGAAGCACACACGCATACCCAGTCAGAGAATAGCCTCTTAATGAACCTGAAGAGTCACCGTGACGTGAGTAGGCTGTGAATTGGCAACACAATGACGGCAAAAGTCCTCAAGTGTAACAGCAAACCATTTCACAAGCAATAACACTCAATATTCATCACTTGCAGAATGTTAAATGTCTGTTCGCATACCTATTCTCGGCAATCCCTTCTCCACAAAACCCATTATTCCTCATTGCAATGCCGATTTAAGGGACTTCGAGTTGCGGGGATTTCATTATGCTTCACATTCACTCAGAACTATCCACTGATATACTATTTTACACTCATGATAGCGGACTTTCATTAATCATTTTAATTAACTTCGGCGCAAAGCAAATAGGTGTAAAAGGGCTCTGCACCCTCTCTTGCATCGGAATTATACGATTATGGTAGAGTAAATACCTTATTACTAGCCGTGCATGTAACTGGGAACAGTTGGTTGGAGTTAACAGTAAATAGTTGAGACTTATCACTTGTAAGTTGACGTTGCGTCTAGCAGTAGGAATATCTATGTGTGGACTTTACAAAGTTGTGCTTCAAATGTCATGTTGGAAGGATGATATGATGCAATTTTAAAATAACTTCTAGTAAGCAAGTTATGCTGATGAAGCAGTAGTTGTTTCCTTGTCATTTCAAAGTACATCTTTTGCTACTCATGTTCCGCTTTTGGCACAACATTACAAGTATTTAAACTACAGATTGGGATTTTATTACCAATGCCACCAATAGGCAGGGAAACCGCCTAGCCAAATGGCTGTCATGTGTGATTTTACGCAAAATTCCTTCGTGAATAATTACGGGCGACCACCTCCATACAGCTTGATTGTAACCCATGAAGTGGAGTCGTTAATTTTTGATTACTACATTGCAGTTAAATGTGGCTTCATAGCAGCAGCACATCTAGCAGTTTGCCTTCAGCTAAATGGCAAAATTTTGTTACTTATCCTACTACCTATGGATGTTTAATAGAAACCGTGAAAAAAGAATAAAATCAAAATAGTTTGTGCCTGGATTCAATTTCTTTTAGGCTGTAGATATTAAATATGAAATATAGAAAAAGGGAACTTACCCAGAAGAATATGCATCACATAGACGAGGACTGCTGAGAAATACCACTAACAGAGGCAGCAGTATTCGCACGCCGAAAGTGACCTGCATCGTGCCGACACTTTGTCATCAACACCTATGTGCAGTGTTATGAATAGTGGTGGCGATTTTCACCACCTTAACCACCACCACCATCGCCACCACCGCAGCATCACCACCATTCTCGACATCCCCACCGTCGCTAATCAGGCAGCCAATTGGGGTTGGTGCAAGCGGAGCACGCATTCACTAATTGTCTGCACGCAAGTGCGCACCCTCCAGCCTTCTTCCACCCGTGTGCATACGCATGCGCCAGGCATCTGGAGGGCTGGGCTGTGATGCTCTCTCTCTCCCTCCCACAGGTCACAATACTCCTTTTTCTCCTCCTCTCGCTTATCGTTAACCTATCCTACGGATTAGCAGCATTTGTCATACGGCCTAGGTGGTTTCCTCAAAACGAACATTTAAACTCTTCACTAAGGCAATGCTGATGAATATTGCAGCTAATAATCTAAATGGGTACTTTTAACCACGTATATTTATAAGTGCACGTGAGTCGTTTTTGGAAAGGAATTCCCTCTTTTTAAGCTGATAAAGAACTGGATCTAAGGGGAGAAGGGTGTGCAATTTGCCCCAAAAGTTGGCATACTAGGATTCATACAGTCAATTATTTCATTAGAAGGGTTTTATTAATGCTTTCCGAAGTATGCACGATCGATGCCCAAACTGCCATTCACAGAGAGCACTTCTCTTGGATTAGCCATGGATGAGAGGCATGTCTTATTTTAATGTAATAACAATTAATTGTCACTAATCCCAAATGAGGGAGTTCATTAATTGGCAAATATCCTGAATCCAAGATTGAGCGACTTTATGTACCAGCTTTTGGAAATACACAGAATTCTTCGTGTAAAAAATTACAGTCGCCATCCCCACGACGCATTTGATACAGTTTCCTCACACCCATCAAGTTTTCTACTTTAATTTAAAAGTAGCGATTTGGTCTTCTGATCCGAATAGCAGCGTTTACAGATGTTTCTTACCAATTTCATCAAGCACCTTTGAAGGAGGTTTTTTGAATAGTAATGCCGATGCATCAGATGTGTGCAATGACACCCACTCCAGACCTTGTCTCACTTTAGTACTGGCACAACCTTAATAGTCCTTCTGTTGTGTGTCTTTAGTCAGCGAAATCGAGACTGCTGTCCTTCGGAAGCAAATTAGCTTGCCGACACAAGCAAGTTAGAAAAACTGAGTAATCCTCCAGGATGTATTAGACTGTATCAGTGTGGAAGCAGCTTTGTTGTCAACCTACAAAAACGACTAAAGTGCTGGTAGCTTAGTTTAAAATATGGCGGGTTCTTACTCCAATTTGGGTTGGAATGATAAAATGGTGACACCTAAAACGCGTCCATCACCGTGTCATTAAGACTATGGGTTTATAACAGGAGGCAATAAAACAATCCTCAATTCTGCTGAACAATGGCAAAATAAATGCATTTAAGGTCCGGTAAAGGGTTCTTAATTAGAACTAAATAACTTATATATCTAAATTTAGAAGTTAAAGCAAATTGTTTTTTAATAAAATATATGACCGGGGAGTTCAAATGAGAAGAGAGACTTCAACTTGGCATATTTTTCTGTGCTAAAAGGCTAAAAGTAATACTTCTCTTCAAAAAGAAAAGCTAGGTAGTTTTCTGGCTGATAGTGAGCCTCCTTTGTTCCTACCAAGGTGCACCAAAGTTGGGAAAGCGTAAACTTTAATTAGATATGTACTTCTGCTACTTTTTTGCACAAAAGTTAACAATCCTTGGATTATGGATCTGTGTAAAAGGAAGCAATTCTTGAATTCGATTTTGAGTGGCATGCATGTTTACCATCGTACACTAGGTATTCTCCTTCACAATTTTACTTCATTTCATTTCATGTTGTTTTGTTCGGAAATAAGGTCTATGGGGAAATGGGAGCATTAAAGCACTTTTTTGTCATTTAGCTATGCAGTTGTTTTAGTAAGTGATGATTCCTGTCATTTTGAAGGATAGAGCAGCAGCTAATGGACAAATCAGAGAGCATATGACGAATTATTTCAATGGTAATGCTATGACAGCTCCCATTTTGAAATTTAGGTAGCCCATCCTAAGTGACACGTTTAAATGAGATTACTTTTTCATCCTATTTACTTACTGCTCGATTCTCTAACTCCTTTCATACTCTTTGGTAATAATCGATTCACGAGTAGTAAAGTTTCTTTACATTTTAACAAATGATCCTAAGCCAAATGCACTTCATCATTGCTTACGCAAGAAATGCTTTAAATTAGTCATTTTTCTAAATTTGCTCAAGCCAATGTTAATTATTTTTTTAGAGTTTTGTTATTTGCTGCTTTCAAAACAATTTTGGCAACTTCGGAAGTGAAGCCGGAAAGTGTGTTCGGGTTAGAAAATTTATCGAACACTGCATCAGTAGAGCGTTTGCCTTTTTTTGAAATGCCTGGGGAAAGACGGGGTGGCGAAGGGGGTGGAATGAGAGTGGCTTGTCGACATATGATATCATCTAAATTTTGATGCTTAAATAAATTTCTGTTTAATGTCAACGCCTCCAGCACCTACTTCCAATGTCGCACGTTGCAGATAAGTATGTAAATTTGACTTTTCCTTGTTGGGTTTAAAGGGAAAAAATAAACTTTATATTCCATGCCCAAGTTAACATCCTACGTATTCTGCCAAACAATTTCGAGAAGATAGGAATGCAGTCACACGCTGCCCATCTCTTTCCACCTCTATTCCACTTGGTACGGGAAAATACTAATGTGCCCTCCAAACCGCTAATATCAATGTTAAGGAGAGCAGATTTCTCCCGTACACTCTTGAATCTCCAGTCGCACTATTAACCATTTACATCAGAATGCCAAACACCCTAGCAGCTCACAACCATTTCTTAGAGCAATATTTGAGGTGTGTGTGTGTGTATGTGGCGGAGTCTAATTAATCACCGGAAATGTACGTGTGGGGCATCTAATCTCCCCAATTAGGACATCTACGCACACCAGCAACATCTGCAGTTTACTGTATTTTTTTCATAGTGCAAATGCGATTTTTGCATTTTAGTTGCTACGAATAAAAAATAGCATTTGCTTCATCACATCAGGCGAGTACATTTTTACAACATCCCTGTCATTCCTCGTTGTACTCTCTACACCTCCTCACATAAATTTAGGCAGTTGCAATCCAAGGAAAATTATTTATTTAGTACCTTTGATTTTTTTACTGTAGTCGATTCCCAGTACATCCTGGGTGAGAAGAATCTGAAAGTATTCACTAATTTACGGATTAGATAGGTAGATACTTTTTGCGCACTGGAAACGGCTAGATTTTTTGGACACATTTCTTGTTCATTGCCTACATTTGCAATTTGTAAGTAGTAAGTTAAAATTGCTTGACTAAATTATGCCAGAAATAATCAAACTAATTTTGGTAAGGGTTTGATGTTGACAAATTCTACTAAGACGCCTAGAAGCGACTTATACAAACTTGCTCTAGAAAAAGCACCGCGAGTTATTTCAGCGGCGCTGCAAATTATGACGCCCCTACGAGGGTGTTCTCATTACATCCACCGTAGGCACAGCAATGAAGAGGCAGCTGCGAGAGCGCGCAACGTAGGCCCCGTGCACCCAGTTTGGGAACTGCTGGGCTGAACCGCCTCTTGTGCTTTTATGGCCATCTATTTAAAGAACTGCGCAATCCCACGTCTTACAAGTCTCACTTGTTCCCATATATCCTCATTCACAAATATCCTCTCATTTAGTAATTACTGAGGCAGAAATAACTCCCTTTCAGCAAGCGGATACGAATTCATCATGTTTAGGATGTAAATCAAGCCCTCCTGTTAATGCCATTGCTGTCATTTTTCCCCTAATTTAAAGATGGAAAAATGTACTTACGGAGTGGGAATTCGTCATATCTGTCAGTAAAAGTAAATGGGTAAGTTCTTATCACTGGTATTAAGTAGACACCTCCGATGTTCATTACGTAATATCAACATGCTAACAACCGAATCTACTTTTTCAAACGGCCGGTAAGTTTATAGTTTTAAGGTTTCACACAGCACGTTGCGTTTATTTCCCTTCAAATAGTGTCTATTAATTTTTTTATCAAGAAAATTGCTTAACTGTATTTATAGGACTACTTAATGATCTTGTATTGAGCCCTGGTAATAGAGTGCTACCCACTTGTCGTGTGGGTTGACTTGAAAACTATGAACCTAAAACCCATACCTACCTAAAAGACTGATGCGGGCCTAAATGACAATCACAGGATTCTTAAAAACCCCTGAAAGATTTGTGGTCCTATATTGAATACTTTTCAAAACAGATAAATTACAAAAGGGGAAAATGCAATCACCAACGTCATTGGAATTATTTGTTTGAGTTTTCCGCCACTGGTGAAATTACTAGTGGCTTCCCTCTTTGCGCTTGAGTTCAGCTGATTTCAGAATAAAGATATCTTCTAAACTCCAAGCAGAAATTGCTTTAAGTATTACTAGTGTTGGGAGAGTAAATGAAGTGTATTTAGAGTGAAAATTTGACTTAAAATTGCTTTAGATGGCCCAGATTAGTTGTAATTGTAAATGGAGGGACGCCAATCTTCGTATGCTCATTCCAACTCCCCCCAGTCACGAGGTCAATCAAGTTTTGTCTTGACCGGACAATGTCTTACCATACATAGAAACATGTTTATTTCCTCAGCGATGTCAACAATTAGCACCAGGCGGAGAGTACTGGGGTTTATGCAATTGACATTTACCGTACTGCTAATCTCTACGATGTGAGGCAGAGCCGAGGGTCGGGGCTAGCAGTATGATCAAATATGAGTGGGTTATGAGGTTTGCGTGTGCACTAAAATTAAGTTAGCAGACGTCCAGGTTTCAGGTGGGGCCATATTCTCCCATCGTGGGATTGATAAGCGTATACTGCCGTATACCCAAATGGAAACACGGAACACACATTATTAACACTCACGAAAGCTTAATTAAAGTCCTCCATCCCTGTCTCACTTTCATCCTTCTTTTGAATGATATAAGTTGTTGTGCTAGCAACCCGGTGTAGGAATGCTTTAGTTCATTTGGAGTTAACAATACTCAATATGCGTTGTTAACTTTCTTGATCTATCAGTTCTACAACGCACGCAAATCTTGTCTTGCTTATGGTCTGCCAAGTTACCTGTTTAAGACATTTCTGACGTGTAAAAAGGTTTTAATAATGAGGCTTTTTGATAGATCCTTTTGGAGCAGTTTGTACTTTCACCTGAATAGTAGTACTCGTGTACTACTGCTATAATGTTGTTTATAGGAAAATGTCACGAAGGAATTCTTACCCAATTAGTTTGCACTTTCTAGACTACTTTGTCAACATTTCTTTTACCTAGAGTTTGTAGAAAAGAAATCTTCCAGTCGTTTCTTAATGCAAAAAATATTATGCTAAGGAAATTAGGATCTTCAGCAGCAATATTCTGAGGTAAGCAGTTTGCCACTAAAGTCAGTAAACACAACGTGAAGAGAAACCATCGTCTGATTGCTCCAAGGGAATTAATGCCACATTGTGCGGCGATATAATAACTTCAGTGAGTAGACACATTAAAAAAACGTATAGTCACTTCCCACCAATTACAGTGGTTATAATCCATACAAATCTAGTAATACAAGTGATTTTATAATTGGTGCAGAGGAGTTTGCAAATGACAACGGCCTCATTGGGATTGATTATTGTATACTTCTTTATAAGCGAGGTTTTTATTATAAAATTCATTCCCACTTTTAAACTTATTCAACCTGTTGCCATTCGAGAGCAATACGACTGTCCACAGCACGAGACTAGCAGTAACTAATGTATTGAATTCGACGATGCCTCAGACATTCTACGCCATCCATTCAAGACACAAAAGAGGTACCTTACTTAAAAGTCACTTTAAGCGACGAAAATTCCATAACCGAATTAACTATGAGTCTCTGACGGGTCGGGTCTTCTCCGAAGTTGTAACAAGCCATACTGACATAAAAAAAGCATTATTACCAACCCAAAGAGGAGGTAGAAGGCAATAGATACAGCTTTTCAACTACGTCGCCGTGATTAGAGTATAAACCTCAGAGACGAAGAAGCCAGCTTAATTAAATATTCAGCCATACAAATACCTACTTATCACGATTTCACCATAGACTTAAATTTAGAATACTTATACAGTTAGTGGAGTTATAAAAGTTTATTCAAATTTGTGCATTGCAAGATTCTGCAAAAAAGTAAGGTATTTAGCCTGACACTTTGTATTAACTCCTAATAGAGTACTTCTTAAAACCGCAAATAAATTAGAAAGCCCCAAGTTTCTCTTAAAAAACCTGTTCTATACTAAAAAACCCGCCGCCATTTTAAATCCAAATTTTGAAAGCAGTATGCTATTTATTCCCTTAATTCCATTAGAAAATGATCACTTCATAGAGGCAATAAAAGGATGATTTATTTTAAACTAACCTTCACATTCCACAGATGAATAGGCTTTTTTATAGAGATGGAGCGACCAATCAAATTAATTCTGTTTTCCTTATCCCATCAGCTGATTGCAATCGCCAATAGAAGCTTTCCCGATTGAACCAATCAAAATGGACATAAAGTATGCAACATACAGGATTATAGAAACATACTTTGAAAGCCCAATACAAATGAAGTCGACTTTAATGGAAGTTTTAATCTACCAAACTAACAATCATGCCTGATATAAATCCGGACAATATTGATCCTTCAGGAGGTAGATCGGATAATCTTCAAGAATGGTCCGCAATGCGGAGATTGAGTGAACAGCTGACAGAAGCTACTCTCGCGGCTATGCAAAAAGCTGACGCTAGCTTTCCTGGCAAGCCCCTTCTTGATGTGCCAATTTTGGCCTGCCCTAATTGTCATAAACCGGATGTGCTATATAGCAATGCTGCTTTGAATGAGACTGGACAAAGTTCCAATTGCCCTGCTGACTTGCAACGATGCGGTCGCTCGAAAAGCGTTGCACTCTCAGGCTTAGATCGCGGCTGCAATTATTGCTCGGCCTACTTTTATCAGAATCCTCTAAAGGATTATGTTTGGTCCAGACCGAGCTATCACTCTAGTCGAGCACCTATGTGGCAACAGCACTACTCATTTCAATCTCGCTGCTCTAGTGCAACACCAGTTAACATTGACATTGATGACATTCCCGCCATGAGTGGGTTATATCGAGACATAAAACTTCCTGACCTTAATATCGCTAGAGGGGCCAACGGAAGGTCTAGTTCACTGATTGAAATACCGGCCAAGTCATCGCAACATACACAAACAATATTTTCCAGCATTACAGCCGGCAATGAATTCAGTAGCACTGGAAATAAGTCACGGTTCCGATTAAAATCTGGCTCTATGTACGCAAAACACGCCTCTGGGTTGCGTTTTCAATTGCCTCCTGCACTCCAACGAACAAAGTCCTTTCGCAAGCGTGGACTTGACTTTGGATTGCGGAAGACACTATCTGTAGCAAACGCAATAGTGCGCATGCCCATCGAATCTGCGACTCCGTCTTGCAAGAAGAATCTGGATGCCACAATAGATGATGCAGCAAAAAATCTCCTCATTATTAACACAGCATCGTCTCCTTCTATACCAAAACAAACTCCAAACACATCGACAGCTCCGTCCATTAAGGTAGCACAAAACAATAAGACAATTATTTTCTGCAATGACCTTTGTAATACTTCGGAATCAGGGAGTTTGCATTCCTGGCCAGCTGGACACAATACAAGCATAATTTGTCATGAGGAAGAGGAGGCGTTAGCTAAAACGTACAGGAATCATCGGGCAACCATGCCGAGAAAGCACAATCTATCGGATGGAAATATTAGGCGGGTACTAACAGTAGCCGTAGATGATAAAGCATCCAACCAAACGAAAGATGAGGTTCAAACAAGATCCGGTAGAAGGAATGTGCGACTGCAAACAATGGAGGACTTTGAAAAAGAGATTAAATCCAGTTTCAGCATTCCACGCATTCTAAATGAGGAGGATAGGACCAAAGAACCGGATGAGGGTCTCATTTGGGAAAGCCTTGGTGGCATGGACGAGACGTCAAAACAACGCTCAAAGGAATACTGGAAGGAACAATTTTTGATGTTTTTTCAACCCTCCGATAATAAGTTGGCAAAGAAATTATTTGGCACAAAAGTGGCTCTAAATAAGGAGCGCTCTAGACAACGAAAGCAGGGTAAATGGATTATTCATCCAGCGAGTAATTTTAGGTGAGTTGCTGCTGTTTTAAATTTTGTGTGTATTTTGTGCGCTCAGCTAGGACTTTCTATCTGGAAAGTTTTTCTCGTCTTTGGAGCTTGACATCCTTTTGATCAGTTATATCCACGTAGATCAGGCTGTTTTAGGTGATTTCTCTAGATATAGTAAATACACTTAACATACGGCAATCCATGGTTACTCATTAAGCCTACTTATTATGGAAATTTTTCAGGTTTTCAAATTTCATTAGCAAGTTTGGCTAATGAGTCCATTTTTTGCATTACATTGAGAAACGAATGCAACGCGAGGTTTGATTAGCATTTATGCCTGCATGTGAAAAGTTCACCGGTAGATTCTACTCATTTTGAATATACAGTTTGTGGATTTCCCTTGTGAATAAGAGTGCTACACCAAAATTTCAAAATTATATAGTAGGAAAGTCAATTTTCATAGGAAATCTATCAAGGTGGTCAAATCAAACGCGTAATCAAGGCAGTTCGCGACAAATTAATGACAATACAATTTCCCCTTTTAGCTTAACTTTACTTGAGGTCCCATTCAAAGAATTATATAACGACAAAATATACCAAAAAATTTGTCGAAATAAGACAGTCTTTTTAAGTATTTGGGTTTATCTGAGGCAAGAACCGGTTTCAAACATCAGTCTGATCTGGTTGTCGACAATTTCGACAATTAGATCTTCAAAAAATGGAGGAATTGCTTGGTTAAAGAAAGCTATCACATCTCCACTTCTGACTGTAAAGGGAACGCATTGAGCACGCTGGAGACGCTGGTTTAATTGTGTAGCCTTTTTAGATGGTAATGCTACATCAGCTAAACTCCACTTAACTCCATGCATGCTGGGGGGCATTTCCAGGGCCATCAACACTAGGAATTACTGCCCACAGACAACGCTCTAACTAGTTTGCAATCTGTACTTCGTTCGATTAAACTTTTTAAAGTCTATCACGGTCTACTTTTTTGCGATGTAGCAAAGTCTAAACGTTGCACAAAGCTCCAATCTTCTTGTAGAAAACCAAGAATTGGCTCATTCAGGGGCCATCTATGGCCGCTAAGGATAATACATGTCACAATGATATTGGCAATATAAGGCGCCTCCCACGTTAACGTTGATTATTTAACACCGAGAAAGTGAAATCTCAGCATAAGAACTGATGATGGCTGCGCGTCTGAGGAATGCGATGCTTTCTAAACAAGCAAAATGGGGCATTCGACTTTGTTTGCTTGTTTTTTTTTGCGATCTTCTTTATCCAAATGAAAGTTTATCTGGTTTACAGTTCAGTGTGAAATTAGTTAGAGATTTAGGTGGTGAATTATACTAAAGCGCTGAAAGAGTTGTACTAACTCATTTGAGGAGTCAGCCTTTTTTGATGTAAAGTAGCTATTCCGAAAGTAGAATCAACTCAATGAAACTTTGCCTGCTAGAAATTGTCAAAATTCCAACACCAAGTAATCTATTAGTCCATAAGCGTCTAATCTCTAAGGGCTATCTTCACATACCTAAGAAATATTAATTGGTGTGTTGGATAATAATGCTCTAACTCATTCCCGTCTAGGAATAATTTTAGCAGCAGTTAAAAAACCAAGTCCATGTTACTAGCGTACGGCTACCAGAATTTATTAAGAAACAGTGATGCATTTGATGGGAATTCGAGGTTTTGAATGTTTTAGTATAGTCCTTTGCAATAGGCAGTTA